GCGTTGCCTGTCAACCCAACCAAAAATGGGTGTCAGGATGTATGTCCTAGGGAAGTAAAGACGGCCGACGTAATGCTGACCACATTACCCACCTAATGCCGATTAGTCTGTAAAAATATGGGTGCTCTTCCCATATGCCCGATGCGCCTAAAGGCGTGAAAAGGGATCTTTACTTTACTTACTTATTTTCTTATATAACTCTTCATTCACATCCAGTTATTAAAATAATTCATACTTGCTCTGACTGTTACTTTAACTCCTTCTCTCTCAAAGTATTATCAATATGAGTCATGGTGCAAACATTCATTATCTAAAGTAAAACTTGTCTAGGAATGCACAGGTTAAATTATATCTGCCTGGTACTAAAAAACATCTGATGGCAACCATGGTCCTGGAATCCTGCATGCTTATTGAGGAGAGCTTCTCTTGTTGCCAGTTGGTCTTGCTAGTGGCACTTGCCATCATCATGAGTTGTAATTCTTCTAACTGCCTATAGCACAACCCTATCATCTAGAAAGACACAAAGGTGTAAATCAAATCTATATGCCTGAGAGTCAATCAAATCTATAAGCCTGAGAATCAATCAAATCTATATGCCTGAGAGTCAATCAAATCTATATGCCTGAGAATCAATCAAATCTATATGCCTGAGAGTCAATCAAATCTATATGCCTGAGAGTCAATCAAATCTATATGCCTGAGAGTCAATCAAATCTATATGCCTGAGAGTCAATCAAATCTATATGCCTGAGAGTCAATCAAATCTATATGCCTGAGAATCAATCAAATCTATATGCCTGAGAGTCAATCAAATCTATATGCCTGAGTCAATCAAATCTATATGCCTGAGAGTCAATCAAATCTATATGCCTGAGAATCAATCAAATCTATATGCCTGAGAGTCAATCAAATCTATATGCCTGAGAATCAATCAAATCTATATGCCTGAGAGTCAATCAAATTTGTATGCCTGAGAGTCAATCAAATTTGTATGCCTGAGAGTCAATCAAATCTATATGCCTGAGAGTCAATCGAATCTATATGTCTGAGAGTCAATCGAATCTATATGTCTGAGAGTCAATCGAATCTATATGCCTGAGAGTCAATCAAATCTATATGCCTGAGAGTCAATCGAATCTATATGTCTGAGAGTCAATCAAATCTATATGCCTGAGAGTCAATCGAATCTATATGTCTGAGAGTCAATCGAATCTATATGCCTGAGAGTCAATCAAATCTATATGCCTGAGAGTGAATCGAATCTATATGCCTGAGAATGTTTTTTAACAAAAATAAAAGTAATTTATTTCCTTGACTTTGGTAGATCAGGCATTTAGTGTTAGACCTATATAAATATTTTAAAAAAAAAGGACCAATTGGCATTTGAAGAGTGATGTGGACAACATCATGTCACCCACTTTTACTTTCCAGTAAATTACCTGGTACCTAAACTAGCAGATAGTGCTCTTAATGCCATGAAGACGCTACCAACTCTTGACTATCTGGACACATTTCCAACAAGTTGGGAATGCTATTGACGAACTGGCCTCAGGGAAAGCCCCAGGCAGAGATGGAATTCCCACTGAAATCATCAGGAGTGGGAAAGACATTCTAACCCCACACATCCATCGGCTAATAACACTCTGCTGGCAAGAGGGAGAGGTTCTGCAAGATTTCAAAGATGCAAACATCATAACTATGAACAAGAACAAAAGTGATTGGAGTGACTGCAATAACTACAGGGGAATATCACTGCTGTGTACTGTTGGAAAAGTGCTCGCGAGAATTGTTCTGCGAAGACTCCAGATCTTGGGGGATCGCGTTTACCCAGAGTCCCAGTGTGGCTTTCGTGGAAACCGATCTACCACTGATATGATATTTTCATTATGTCAGTTGCAGGAAAAATGCCGCAAACAAAATCAACCATTGAATGTTGCTTCTATTGATCTTACCAAGGCATTTGATTTGGTTAATCGAAAAGGTCTGTTTAGTGCACTGAAGAAGATTGGGTGTCCACCTACTCTACTATTATTGAGACTTGCTCCTACCCTCTTTGGAATATACTTTTCACTTCTTTTGACACATGCCTTTCGAGATCAGGAGGGTGGTATTTTCATTCATACTCGATCTGACGGCAGCCTTTGCACTGCTCGCAGGCTGAAGGCCAAAACCAGGATAAGAAAGGTACTTATCAGAGAGCTGCTGTTTGCAGATGATGCCGCAATAACCACCCACTCAGAGGAGGAGCTGCAATGTTTACTATCTACCTTTGCTGATGCGTGCTGTGAATTTGGACTAACAGTCAGCAAAAAGAAGACAAAGGTTATGGTGCAAGGTGTCAATGACAGACCTACAGTCTACATTGACGGTAAGGAGCTTGAGACAGTAGACCATTTTACCTATCTGGGTTCCACAGTGAATAGTAGAATACTACTAATATAATAATACTTGGCATTAAGTGGCAGGACAAAATCACAAACACTGAGGTACTGGAAAGAGCAGGTACTACAACAGTCTTTTCCATGCTCAGTCTACGAAGGCTCAGGTGGCTGGGTCACACCTGGAGAATGGAGGATGGCAGAGTCCCTAAGGACATTCTTTATGATGAATTAAAGACAGGAAGAAGATGTCGAAGCCGACCTCTACTACGTTATAAAGATGTATGCAAGCGGGACATAAATGATACAGGTAATGAGGAGGACTCATGGGAACAAAATGCCATGGACCATGTTGTGTGGAAAGGGCATATCAGGAAGGGAATGAGACTGAAGGAAGAAATGATTGCAGAAAGGATGAGAGCTGAGCGTCTGAAAAGAAACTGATTAAACACAAATGTTGTTAACAATGGTCCTGAAATCCCATGCTATCATTGTGGAAGACTTTTCTTGACACGGGCGGGTCTTGCTAGCAACACTTGCCATCGCTATGGGCTGTGAGTCTCATGCCTCCTCATAGCGCAATATAACACTATCGTTTGGAAAGGTGCCAATGATAAATTTAGGCTGGGTTGAGATGGAAGCCTAAGTCAACATTTGAAAAAAAAATATAGTTTAATGCAGATTTGAACCCTAGACCTTTGGGCCAGCAGGCAAGCAAATAGCCACTATACTTTACCGTGTTTGCTATACAAATAAAAATTCCTAGTTAAAATCTGATTACTTTGCCAGATATAAACCATTGTGGGTGATAGAAGTAGTAGTAACAGAAGTAAAAAGTAAACATAAAAATTATATGCACAAATGTGTTAGCACTGAAGCAAACTTGGCAGTACACATAAGAACTATCAGAAATTACAATTGCAAAATGAATAAACACATTCTCAGCTGAAAAATGCAAACATCACAGCTATACTGTAAACTGGCACAATGTAATTTCATCTTCAGGTGAACACAAAAGAAGAAGAAGAAGAAACACATTTATTATAAATAAAGACACATTGGTCATGGCATTATGCTTTTCGGACATGCAGTACAAACTTGAAACAGCATTGCAACTGAACTGAGTAACATTACTATTTGAGACTTGAAGCGTTTAACGCATGCTATATTTCAGGGTATCTAATTTCCTATAACCTGCTATATAAACATATAACAAAAATTGTTTCTCTTGTTTTCTGTGCTATAACCAAATCCTAAAACCCTCACTAAACTGAACAGGTTTTTATGCTATAACCAAACTGTTTCCCTTGCCATAACCAAACAGTTATTCCAGATAACAAAACTGCCTAAAACCTGCATCAGCAAGCCCTTGTTTACAACTCTGGACTGATCAGGCTGTGTAAACACTCATTTGAATTGTGAGCTTTTCCTGAAACACATCTACTTAGCAGTTTAGGGTCATAAACTGGCAAAAGATATATTTGTAGTTTGTTACAGTTGAGCCATGTGTGTAACATCTTGTCATGAGAACCCAGGAACTATTTGCTATAACCTAACAACTTTCAGCAAAACAAAGTTAACTGCTCATAAATGTCCTCAGCTATAATCTTACTTTCTGCAACTCAATGTTAACAGCTAATAAACTCCCTTCACTATGAAAGAGGGGTGGCATACATTTAGAATGCAGTCTAAGAGTTGAACCGAAAGTCTGAGTGGCCCTCAAAAATTGCTTAAAAGCTAAAAATCACTGCTATAACCCAAACAGATAACATCCATTGTCAGTGTTGGTTATTCATATTTTTAGTACAAATTTAGATTTTTGGTTATGAGGTTAATCAATAAACTGAAAAAAAAAATTCTACTTTAAAATAGCATGCTTTCAAGTTGCAAAAAAAAAAAGTGTACTCACAGTAACTACAGATCTGTTTCAATTGGTGTGCTGTCTAACCAACAAAAATAAAACACATCAAAATACAAACAAAACATGAAAGAAAATAGTTACACAGTAAATGCTGCCGTTTACCTGATTTATTATGGTATTAAAAAGGATAAAGACATCAAGAACATATTCACCAAAACACTTCCATATCAACCAAGCAGAGATTGTTTGTGTTTAGAGCCCATTAATCAATTGATTTGATGAGAGAAAGACAGAGAGTGATAGACAGAGACAGAGAGAGAAAGGAAGGGGGGGGGGGGGGGTGGGTGGGTGGCGGGAGCAAATGTCTCTATCTGCAACATAAGGCAAACTGTGTATGTATTGTTAGCTTCATGTATTTTTTTTTTTACAGTTTGCACTTGAAGTGTTGTGTGATCAAAATCATGCCAGCCAACTTCACTTACAACTTTACAAGAAACTATACTTTTAAGAGTAATGTAGTTTGTCTGCATCATAATGCCACCTGTAGGAAACTAGTTAAGCCAGAATTTTGCCAACATGATTATCGCTTAAATCTGTCCTAATTATATGACAAATTTAAGATTGTAACACACACACATAATAATCAAGTTTTTTTTTTTTAAAGCACAATTTCTCAACAGACATTCACTCAGCATTGCTAAAAGACTTCCTATTTTAACCAACAGACAACATGCATGTGAAAGACAATAATTAACTGTCACGAGTTTTACCATTTTCTCCTTCCTCCATGATTCTCTGCCTCTGGCCAAGCAGATCAACAGAATCCAGGTTGCCAGTCAAGGTTGTGTATGTGAAGTCACTGCCTAGTCTGTGTTGAAAGATATATGCAGACATTAAACAAAAATGTCTTTAGAGAGAATCACTCAACAATTATAATCCATGCATTTTACACAGACTTGCTATAGTCACAATTCCGTGGCCCCCTTGTGGGGGAAACAAGAACAGACCAAAAGCATGTTGTAGGAGTTGACTAATTAGGGACCTCCTTCAAAGTTGGAATGCATCTGCCTGAGCGGCAAGGAAAAACTTACTGCAGACAAATAAGGCATTAAAACAGAAGTAAATAGAAAACTGAGACCCCAGAAAAAGCCAAAGTCCAAATGGATGAACAACCAGGACTTTCCCGTCGGAGCTTACAACTGGTGAACAAAGAAGAAGAAGCTATAGTTATAGCAGCAGTTGTGAAAACAGGATGCATGAACCGTACTGTGTAGCGTGGAAAATCAGGAAGGAAACAGGGAGAAAAAGAGAAAACGACTGCGGGTGGGTTAAGAGGAAGACGTCTTAGAAGAAGCAATTTAAATACATATGTCGGCAATGATGCTCCTAAAATCCCATGACCTAATTACAAGGTGAAGAGGATCGACTTCAGTGCACTGGATTTCATACCATATAGCTCAGTCTCTCTCCACAGAACAGCTAGCTGCCTGCCGAGAGCATAACACAGAGCACGACTTCTGTAGCTCCGGTGAAAATCAACACGGATCTCCGTAAACAATTGTACTCGTGAACTGAACAACGCCGCCGTGAAATTAACCAACAAACTTTAGAGCGTGAGGCAAACGACTTGACCACTTCACCACAAAGACCCCCTGATCTAATAATGAAAGACTTGCTAATGCAAGCTGGTCTTGCTTGTCAGACAGGCCATCACCATAGAATGTGATCTCCAAGCCTCCCTACAGCACAATAACACTATTGTCTCAGAAGTTAGAGTGGTGACAACATAAAGTTACAAATGAAGACATAAAGGTAACAAAAGCAATGATGTGGCTACAGACACAGTTTTTCCCAAGCGTGCTTTTTACCATGAGCATGCTCAAGAAGATAGAAAAAAGATGGATTCATAAAAAATGGTTGTAGTCGCTGAGGAAATCTTATCTGATAGGAATACATTTTATTTTTGTGCCGGGACACTCTGGGGTGAGAGGGAATGAGCAAGCGGATTGGTTAGCTGGCAGGGCCACGGTAGGCATAAGAAAATCAATGGACCGGGCCGACAGTCTCAATGCTCTCAAGGAGGCAGGAAGATGATTCAGGAGGTGATGCTCAATAGGCAACATTCAAAAGACTACAAGAACTTCAGGTCAAAAAAGGTGTCGGCAAACATAAACACTATACAGGTAGCTAAAGAAGAATAGTAAACCAACACAGAACTGATGTTTTCAGTCAGCACATGTTGGGGGAATGTACCGGAGATGAGATCCCAGCGCTTAAGGTTTTGTCCGATGTGCACTGAGGATAAACTATTGATTGACTAACTAAGGTTCCGGTGTAAACAGCCACAATGGCGGCACGCTTTTTCGTCCGTTGAGGCGAATGGCGCAAATTAACTATTTTCGCTCACGTATAATGTGAAAGTTTCATCGGAATGGGGTCTGAACCGTGCAATGGAGTACATGCACGTGAGTTCAGACTTCCCTCAGGGTGTATTCAACGTCCGATGGCGACTATCTACCAATTCAAAACAACCTGTAGACGGACAAGGAGAACGCGAACAGGCAAGCACGGTGGCGCCTGCAGGAAGCGACTGAAATGTGAGAGACTCAGCTTAAAGTATGTTCGCGTTCTCTACTGGAACTGCGCCTCGTTCTGTCAACGCCGACCCATTTTCGAGAAGCTCCTCTACAGCAACGACATTGTTGTCCTACAGGAAACACACCTCGGTGACGAGATGGTTAAAATTGCGGGCTTCCAATCCTTCTACAATAGACGGCACCTCGGACAGCTCATTCTTGTTCGTGACCACATACTGGTGTCTGAGGTGGACATGTCTGAGTGGGATAATGACGACCTACAAGTACACGCAGTCAGAGTGATGGGCCCGGCCCAGTTTGTGATTGTCAATGTGTACGCCTGCAATGGAAAGGTGGATACAGCGAAATGGCAGAGTTTGCTCCAGACTGAGGAAAAGAAAGTCCTTTACTGCGGAGATTTCAACGCCAGAGGAAACCAGTGGGGCAATGTAATCACCAATAAACAGGGGGAAGACCTGGAGGATGCTCTAGTATCTGCCGATCTAGTATGCTTGAACGACGGAAAGGTTACCCGAATGGCAACCCGACAAGGGGATTCTGACAGCGTAATTGACCTGGCCCTAGTGTCTCCCTCCATTGCACCAGGATGCAGGTGGAGCACACTGGGATACCATGACAGTGATCACTTTCCTTGCGTCGTCTTGGTGGAGAAGAGCAACAACAAAGGTCATGTAATCAATGTGCCTGCTTTTATATATGACCGTACAGGGCAAGATGCCATTAGCAAAATCAGACGACGTAATACAAGAGCAGATCGCAGACGGCGGGAGAGATGGGCCCAGCCACCAAGGTGGAATGAAGCAGTCAACATAGCGTGGCTAGAAAAAAGGAACGCTGTCAAGGCATGGCAAAAGGCAAGGAAAATTGATCCGTCACTTTCTGAACGCCTGATCAGTCTGAAAGATGAGGTCAACAAGCGGACAGTGGCTTTCAAGTTAATTGCGAAAGAAGCCAAGACAGCGAAATGGAACGAATTCTGCAAGAGCGTTTGCTCCGAGGGATCTCTTGTGACATTCTGGCGCCTTCAACGGAGCATGCACGGCGCGCACGACCAAGGGGTATCCCTGATTTTCAGGGTACAGACCTGATATGGCAGAGAACTGATGCTGATAAAGGGAAAAACCCTTCTTGCGCGCTACTTGGAGCAAACTGACCAAAAAGACGAAGCTGCAAGAATAGGGGTTAAGATGAAACTGTCGATGCTGTGCGAGAACACTGAGCTAGGCACTGATTTCACAATCACTGCAGACACCTTAAGAACTTGCCTCAAGAAATCGCGCAGCACTGCTCCAGGCCCTGACGGCATCCGATACAATGACATGCTGATGATGTCGAATGCTGATTTGAAAAGCGTGGCAAAGGAATTCAATATCAGCATCCAGAGTGGCCAGATACAAGAGGAATGGCTCCATAGTTATTTGTTTCCACTACCAAAGCCTAATAAAGACCACTCAAAGATCTGCGGCTACAGAATCATCTCGATGCAGAATACTGTTGGCAAACTTTTGGAAAAAATTGTCGCACAAAGATTGACCACCTACTTAGAACTACATGATAAGTTCCCATCAACACTTGGAGGGTACAGATTGAAGAAAGAGACATGGTCCAATGCTGCTGTTTTCGCCTATGATGTGTACGAGGGATTTCAGATTAAAGAAGAGACATGTGCGGCAGTGTTGGACTTAGAAGATGCCTACAATAAAGTACCATATGATTATTTAATGCAATTACTGCTTAAACTAGAAGTCAATCCTATTCTGATCCGCTGGATTGCTGCGGTCCTGTTCCAGAGAAAGATTGCACTAAGATGTGGTAGCTGGTCCTCAGAACCGCAAACGATATGTCCAGGCTTGCCACAGGGATCACCGCTATCACCAGTCTTATTCAACGTTTATACGGTGATGATCACTGAGCAGCAGTTGAATGGAAAGGGAAGGACTTTGTCATTTGCTGATGACATTTTGATTTATCGACGAGGGCGTGATAGACAGGAGATCGCCAGCACAATGCACAAAGAACTCGATCGAATTGCCGCCTGGTGTGATGGTTCCAATGCCTATGTCAATTCCTCGAAGGCAGCAGTGTCATGGTTCTCTTTGAACAATCACATTGTCAAGTCGGACTTACCAGAAGTGAAAATGCGTGATAATGTATTGATCAGAACCAACGTTATGACGTTTCTCGGGGTGAGGTTCGATCGCAGCTTGTCATTCAGGGAACACGTTGACCATGCAATAACAAAAGCACGCAAAGGTCTATCTGCAATGAGGATTATGGCTGCTTCCAATATCGAGCAAAGACTGCTGGTGCTTCTATTCTACGGTCTGGTCCTTTCCCCCATTGAATACGCTCTGGCCATCCTCACTGTCAGTGCTACCCAGATTGAACGACTCGAGAAAGTGCAAAATGAAGCCATGCGTATTATTTTGGGATGTACAAGAGACACATCCTGTGGAGCAATGAGGTATCTACTTGACTTTCCAACAATGAACCAAAGGATCAGGATGTGGAGGGCTCGGGCATACCTCAAAATATGTGCTGATAAGAAACACCCACTGCATCAAGCACTTTTTAGTGAAAAGGGCGACAGACTGAAGAGGGGAAAATCATGGCTAGGTCGGGCAGAAGATGTTATTAGGCAAATATGCAGCCTAACCGACATCATACGTGGTGCAGAATGGATACCTGTGCCTCAGGCGTTTATTTGTACATTTTCCTGTATTGTCACACTCAACAGGCGATGTAGAGAAGAGAATCCTGTTGCTGTTAATGCAGAGGTCAACGCTCTCATCGGTGAAAATTCAGACGAAGCAGATGCACTAATCTATACAGACGGATCCGTTATACGCCAAAGAAGAAGCGCATGGGCATTTACAGCACGCTCAGCGGGCAGAACAGTCAAAGAAGCCAACGGCGCCTTCTCCATGACAACCAGCAGCATGACGATGGAGGTGATGGCAGTGACGCAAGCGTTTGCCTGGCTTGAAACACAAAAATACACCCGCATATGTATACTCAGTGATTCAATGAGTATGATCCGAAGGGTTCAGGCAGGTTCAGTGCGAAGACAATGGCTTGAATCAATTCAGAAGTCCACTGTGCGAGGAGTCACCTTTATTTTTGTTCCGGGACACGCAGGCGTCGATGGAAATGAAAGAGCTGACAGGCTGGCTGGATCCGCTATCACTACCGACGGTCGGCCTATGGATCATGCTGATATTATCAATGCCCTCAGAGAAATGGGAAGGATAGAGGACTTTGGTGGCAGTGAATCCACATCACTCGCCAGAATGGCAGACTTGGGAATTAAGATCGGCACAGCAAAAAACGAGACGCACACTGGACACGTCAGAAGATTTGTTAATCAACATAGAACTGGTACTATTAGCCATCGGACGTTGGGATTCATACTGAGGGGAGGATCTGAGCACCTATGGACATGTCCGGAGTGCAATGATGATAACCCAACTAACTAACTAACTAACTAACTGACTAACTAAGACCTAGATCATCTTGAGTTTTGAGGGTCCAGTGGAGGTCCAGGATACCCTTCAACATTTACCAACATGGCAAGAGAAATGCAGTGCTAACTATTGAGGATTTCTTGTTACTGAGAACACGAGGTTGTTCAGAGAGCTTGATTATAAAGTGTACCTGTTACATTGGCTGACTTTATTAGGGATAGCTATTTGACAACTTTAAAATGGTAACGAGTTTATGTAATATCAGTCAAGATATATAAGGTATGCATAGACAGAGTAGATAAAGAACAGATACAATGGCGTGTTTTTATTAGTTGATGGAAAAGCCCACAGGCTTAAAAACTGCTGAGAACCCAGATGCAAGAGAACTGTCAATTCACTGGTTGAACCTTAAGGTATTCTTGTTATCAATGGGTTTATTTTTTTTATAGTATGATATATACATTAAAAGTAAAGACATATCAAAATAAAGAAGCAGGACTGAAAGAAGAAGAGAAAGGGGAAGAAGATAAAGAAGAGGAAGAAGAAGAGGAAGAAGAAGCAGAAGAATAGGACAAGAAAAAAGCTGAAGAGAAAGTTGGAAAAGAAAAGGATGAAGAAGATGAAGAAGCAGAAGAAGATGAGGAAGCAGAAGATAAGAAAGAGCAAAAACTGCTTGTACTAACGATGTTTGTTCTGTTCTTGGTGTTGTTCCCATAGTATTATAGCTGATTGTTGGATGCAGACGGGATGCAAATGAGATCCCATTGCCAAGGCTGTAGACAAAAACACAGCATACTCTATGATTCCTGTTTATCTTATTCATCACTCCCAAACAATATCATCTATTCCATAGTTTTCAAAAAATCTGTGAATAAAACTAAGCTCCAAAACATATGTGAATACAGTTTAAGCTGTCCACTTTCATTAAAATAAACGTCTGAGCAACCACTGGTAATAACTGTCAAAAGACAAATAAGACAGCATTATACTGGACACATCCAGAGAAGAAATTAGCAGAGAATCACTAAGCAGGCACTGAAATAAGAAATAAAAAGACTGAGGAAGCTAGGATGTGAAAAAAAACAAAAACAATCTGGATGAGAGAGGTCAAAGGTGCTGGACTGAATTCCATCCATGGTGTTGAAGGCACTGCACAGGAGACAGAACGGAGGGATAGACTGTGAGCTCTATATGACATATAACGACACAAAGTGGCAATGATGATGATGTCCACACAACTATTTCTCTGCCTCTCTTGGATCATTTCTCTCTTCCATTTCTTTTGTGACAGAAAATCATCAAACAAGCACTGAAATGGGAAACAAATGGATTCATGAAGTAAAGGGGTGCAAGAGAATCCCTATGATGAACATTTATATGTCCAAAAGTGGCAGAGCAGATTACATCCAGGATATCACACATATTACACAGGACAGAAGAGAACAGAGTAACAGATTGTGAACTCTATGTGATATAAACAGCCCAATAGGATGATGATACATCTCTTCTGTAGATATGCCACATACATAGTACTGATAAGCAATCAAATGATGCCAGCAGCTGCCAATACTTTAGATTTTCTTTTCTTCCCAAGCTATTCTCAACATTTTGTTGAAAAAAAAAATTAATCTGCATTACTTCCTCCAAATTTTAAAAATTGCAATAGTTATTGTTTAGCATTCACATCCATCCAAAATGAAAGATTACACAACTTTTCAGCAAATAGATTTCTGTGCTTGTCAAGATATTTCTGTTGCACAAGATGTAGCATATACTCAGGGCTTGTAGCACACTGGGTGCTAACAAAAGATAATACTTTCATAAAGGTTTAACAAGTCTGAAGTTGAGAAGATCAATTTTATCACACCAGGATATAGCTAAGTCCTTTTTTACAGAATGGCTGGTCTCCTGCCAAAAGCAACACACAAAACGTGAATTTATGAGCTTCACAGCTCCTAGGGATTTCTGTATAAATGTATTCAAGAATCGAATAACACAGAACATGAGGCAAATAGTGTAACCACTAAGTCACTGAGTCCTTCTCACTACTCTTCCTTCATATATTCTCCCTAACTCCAAGTTTACACAATCTGACATGTTTTACATCTAATTTTCTGTTGACAGCTAGCATTCATTCATGCTTGGCCCTCAGAAATGTTTTTTCTGTGTGTTATATTTATTCCTACAACTGGCGCCTCGCAGCCAATAAATCCTACATTTGTTCGACTCTTGCATGTCCTTGTCATATACTCCTGTATTTCTTGGGTTTGAGTCCACACCAAAAAAAATTTGAAGAAAACAGAGTTTAGCATCACATGCTGATGTTCCACTGGTGTTAAAAGGGTCTTTTACATCTTCTACCTGATGTTATTGATCTGCTTGGACACTTGAGTCTGTAATTGTCCAAGCTTAGGAGTAAAAATGATGTGCAGAAACCAGAACACAGAGTCCATGGAGTACCAAATGGTATATAAAATATTCCCAAAATGCCTGAAGGTGTAAAAACCAGTCCTTTAACTTTTTCTTCTTAAAGTTTATGCTGTGTGGAATTGGTAGTCATGTCTATCCACAACCTTCCATCTTGTGTATTTTTACTAAGCTATGACATAGATGATCCCCATACCATGATGTCAAACTGTCCAGCATCTTTTCTCTAGGTCTCCCTCTGCCTCTCCAACTTTCCAACTGTCATGATGTACTCCCGTTTTCTCCTTCCAATCACATGGCCAAAGAATGTAGATTGTCTCTTTCTGATGTGGGCAACCAAATCTCTTTGTTAGTCAGTTTCTTTCAAGACATCCTCATTACTCTTTTTATCCTTTACCTTACTTTACCAGAAACAAAACTGAAAACAAAATAATAAAAAGAAAATACCTGGAAAAAATTGGTAGAAACCAATAGGATTTGCGATCCCCAAAGACTTCAGAAAAATTTGATCTGGTTCCTAAGCTGAAGCCATCTTTGTCAGGTCCTGCCTGAAAAACTGGACCCCGGAATGACTCTGGTAAAGGATAAATATTAAATCTAAATTGTATGACACTGGAAACAGACGAATGAAAAACAGTGAGCAATTAGAACATTAAAAACACAAATGACAGACAGCACAATTTATTTTGCTGCATCCCATCAGCTGCATGCTAAAAATATAAATCAGTAGAACATTAAAAAAAAAATGAATCCTTATATATGTTGGTGCATTCACTTAGCAAGGGCTGTTAGAGTATGATAGTTAATGTACCCACTCACCAATAGCTGTGGCAGTATGGCTGTTATCTTCTTTCGTTCACTTGAAATAGATTATCTATATCTGCAATGCTGTCTCTAGTATGAACTTCACTGTCTTTTGTAATTCATTCAGCAACCCGTAAAGTTTAGCTTGCACTGGTGTTTCTCGTGGCCAAAAGTTTTGCCTTGCTTGGCTGTTAATGTGCCCACTCACCAACAGCTGTGACATTATGGCTGTTAGTGTACCCACTCACCAACAGCTGTGACATTATGGCTGTTAGTGTACCCACTCACCAACAGCTGTGACAGTATGGCTGTTAGTGTACCCACTCACCAACAGCTGTGACAGTATGGCTGTTAGTGTACCCACTCACCAACAGCTGTGACAGTATGGCTGTTAGTGTACCCACTCACCAACAGCTGTGACATTATGGCTGTTAATGTGCCCACTCACCAACAGCTGTGACATTATGGCTGTTAATGTGTCCACTCACCAACAGCTGTGACAGTATGGCTGTTAGTGTACCCACTCACTAACAGCTGTGACATTATGGCTGTTAATGTGCCCACTCACCAACAGCTGTGACAGTATGGCTGTTAATGTGCCCACTCACCAACAGCTGTGACAGTATGGCTGTTAATGTGCCCACTCACCAACAGCTGTGACAGTATGGCTGTTAATGTACCCACTCACCAACAGCTGTGACAGTGTGGCTGTTAATGTACCCACTCACCAACAGCTGTGACAGTATGGCTGTTAATGTACCCACTCACCAACAGCTGTGACAGTATGGCTGTTAATGTACCCACTCACCAACAGCTGTGACATTATGGCTGTTAATGTACCCACTCACCAACAGCTGTGACAGTATGGCTGTTAATGTACCCACTCACCAACAGCTGTGACAGTATGGCTGTTAATGTACCCACTCACCAACAGCTGTGACAGTATGGCTGTTAATGTGCCCACCACCAACAGCTGTGACAGTATGGCTGTTAATGTGCCCACTCACCAACAGCTGTGACAGTGTGGCTGTTAATGTACCCACTCACCAACAGCTGTGACAGTGTGGCTGTTAATGTACCCACTCACCAACAGCTGTGACAGTGTGGCTGTTAATGTGCCCACTCACCAACAGCTGTGACAGTGTGGCTGTTAATGTACCCACTCACCAACAGCTGTTTATGTTCTCACTCTCCAACAGCTGTGACAGTATGGCTGTTTGTGTACCCACTCACTAACAGCTGTGACAGTATGGCTGTTAATGTGCTCACTCACTAACAGCTGTGACAGTGTGGCTGTTAATGTGCCCACTCAACAACAGCTGTGACAGTGTGGCTGTTAATGTACCCACTCACCAACAGCTGTGACAGTGTGGGACAACGGATGTAATGGCACAGCTATAATGCACCCAGTGACTAACAGCTGTGATAGCACCGCTCTTTATACATCCACTGACCAAAAGCTGTGACAGTATGGCTTTTAACTCTTTCAGTCCCAAGGAACGCATCATAGGTTTATATGTTCCTACCTAGAAGCTCAATGAGCGCAAGATGTGCTGATTTTATGTCTCTCTCTCTATTACCCGCTGAGTCTCTGATGCTAAACCCTGTAGGGTTAAAAGAGTTAATGCACATACTGACTAACAGCTGTGTCATCATGGTAGTTAATGCACCCACTGACCAACAGCTGTGATAGCATGGACTGATATTAGGCTGTGACAGCATGGCTGTTAATGCACTATCTGACTAACAGCTGTGACAGTATGGCACTTAGTGTGCTCAGTGACCAACAGCTGTGAAAGCATGGCTACTACAGACTTACATCTATACATTTTTAAAATAACATATCATTATAAATTATTAGAGACATGCGGCTTAGCTCTATTTTCATGTGATTTGAGCTGGACTGGTAATCATGGAACCTAGAATCAACTTGCTAATACGATTTGCCTACATATCGATTGTTATTTACATTTAAATAAAAACACAATAAACATTGCACATACCTAATGTGGATCTATTTCGAGCGGTGAGAAAGAGGTGGTAACCAAACAGTGACACCAGGCTAATTGCAAACATAATAGCAACAAAAAACAGGAACAGGATGTGGAAGCGACCAATGCTTCGATTACTGCCGTCCTAGAAAACAAACAAAAAACACACAAATGTTAACATGTTCATTTTTCACGTCAGTGCATATTTTATTATATTAAATAAATACACAGTATAGAGTATTCAAAACATCTGACAATTAACTATATAAATATAGACATTGCATTTCTGTTCATTTCATTTGTATATGCTGTATTTACAGTATCTGTTTATAATTATTAAAGATAATCAAAATGTTTCTTCTTATTTACTTAATTTATGTATAACAGGTGTACATTTATTGTCTAATTGAGAATCAACATCGCAGCTCTCGGGATATTCCCATAAGCGCTCTGTCTCCATCTTCAGCAGCAAGTGCTGAGTTCCAATGGTACCATTAGCAGTCTGATTGTTATATCTGTCTTATCTTTCCCCTGAGTGCTGATCGTTGACCAGATCCCCTGGTCACTCCTCGCAGTGCCTTTCTTTTTATACCATAATGATCCATCTGTGCTTCCCCACTGTTCACTCGCCCCCAAGGGCCCTTACAACATCTAGCTTCTTGTCATCCATCAGTTCACCATCAAGCTGTGCAGAACCTGCCAGTCTATCTGCCTGTTCATTTCCGAATGCACCGGCATCTCCTTGGGAAAATAACTGTCACAGCTTTTGGTCAGTGGATGTATAAAGAGCGGTGCTATCACAGCTGTTAGTCACTGGGTGCATTAAAGCTGTGCCATCACATCCGTTGTCCAGTGAATAAATTAACAGCTGTGCTATTACAGCTGTTGGTCAATGGGTACAGTTAACAGCCATGCTTGCCCCTCTTAAAGAAGTCAGCTGGTCTCTGCCAGTAGGTGAATAGTTGCTTAAAGAATCTGTAAATAGTAACTTTTCGAACATCCTGTAATTTAAATGGTATCATTAAAATGTACAATCATGTTGGCATCCTTCTGCCTCTCCCGATGAGAGTGTTATACTATGGGGAGGCATGGCAATCACAGGCCATGGCTATGGCAAGTGTTACTAGCAAGACCTGTTTGCGTTAAAAAAGACTGTCCACAATTACAGCATGGGATTACTGGACCACAGCATTGCCAGGACACGAGGGAATAAACGAGTGGATCCGCTTGCTGACAGGGCCATGGTACAGGAACAGCAATGGATCCGGCCAAAATTCTCAATGCTCTCAAGGAGGCAGGACGAGAAGATAAGTCAGGAGACGAGGCTGAATCGGCAACTCTCAAAAGACTACAAGAATTTAAGGTCAAAAGAGGTGTTGTCAAACATGAACACTATACAGGTAGCCAGAGCAGAAAAGTAAACCAATACTGAATTAGTGTTATCAGTGGCCCCACACTGAGGAATATACCGAAGATGGGATCCGAGCGCCTATGAGCTTGTCCGATTAGGATAATTTGTCGATTAAGTAACTAGCTAATAAATAACTAACTGTTGCTCCCACCCCGCCCCTTTTTTTTTAAATGTGCTTCTTCCCAGATGCTCAACTCTTGACCTGTCATGCCTTTCTTGTCCTGATCTGTCCCCTCTATTCAACATGATCCATAGCATCCGGTTTTCAAGAAGCCTCATTCAAAACTGTTATCATTAATTTCCTGCCGGCAAACATCTTTATATTGCAGAAGAGGCTGACCTGGACATCTGTTACCCATCTGTAATTAACTACACAACATTCTGTGTGTCCCAGCCATCTGAGCCTTTGAAAACTCTGTGTGTCCTAGCCATCTGAGCCTTTGAAAACTGTGTGTGTCCTAGCCATCTGAGCCTTTGAAAACTGTGCATTGTAGAATCATAAAGTGCACATAAAAACATGCTTACTTTTGCAATGCAATTCAAAACTTTATAATTTATTTAAAAAAAAAATAAACATGTGTTTGTTCAAAATCCCAAACAACACAATTAAAATTAGTATTGGAAACTCAAATTTCTGTAGTCTTCTTCTTCTTTGCGTTCACCAGCTGTAAACTCTGGCAGAATGTTCCGGTTGCTCGTCCACTATTGAACTGCAGTCCTGCTCCAGAAGCTGAGTGTTGCGTGTGCATCAGTTTTACAGATCTCATTCTCTTGAATACAGACTGTTGGTTCCTTGCCTCTCCGGCAGATGCACTCCGACTTCAAAGGAAGCTCCCCAATTAGTCGACTCTTACGACATGCTTTTGGGGAGGCAGTGGGTCTATTCTTGTTTGCCCTGGAACCCACACGGGGGAATTTCTGTAGTATCAAAGAGCTTTCAGTTCTAAAAAAGAACATACTGGATAAGAGTGCTTTTCATTAGCCTTGATAACTAAGAATTTTCTTGAAATATTCCTTGTACCATCATCATCATGTAATAGGTCCTTTGCAGAACACTGCTCTCATCACAGCACACACACACAAATCCTCTGCCAAATTTCCTGCCCCCAGAACTTTCATGCTCAGGGCCTCCTTGATAACTTGTGTCCACCATCGTTCCCTCTTTCTGTAAATCTTTCCAACAGTCACATGTTCCGGTTTCTTTTTTCTCATAAAGTGACCAATAAATGATAACTGGCTCTATCTGATGTTTCTGATAAGATGTCGTTTGCCTCTGGTCTCTCAAAACATCTGGATTATTAATTTTGGTTATTCAAAGATTTGTAAACATTTCTCTGTAAAATCACACATCTGAGGCCTCAAAAACAATTTTTTTACTTGTTTACTAATTATCTATTTTGCACAGCCTAATAAAGTGAGCGCGCTCGCACGTCGCGCACACACACAAATATATGATAAACATAATCAAAAGTGTCACAAAAAATGAAAAAGTTATATTTATGTATATATGACAAAAAAATTACGTATTTTCTAAAGTGGCACCACATGCACACACACACACAAACACTATAAAACATAAAATCCATGTCTTTCTGTCACCAGAACTCCTCCCAAACGGTGAACAGTAGCCATGTGTAATATGCACGTCATTCTGGCTGCCATTGCTAGGCCAACTGTGCTGTTGTTAACAAGTTTTCTATGTCTTGCAGCAAACTAAAGCCATAATCACTAACTATTGAAACTTAATAGTTATTTCCCTTGAGCAAATATTTTTAACGCCCCTTGAAGAATGATTTTCACAAAACTATTTTTTCACTCTTATCTCCTTTCAAAATAATGGCCTAGACAGCTACTGTTGTTTTCTTTTAGCAGCGGAGCCATGATAGTGTAGTGGCGAGATCAGTGTTTTTCAAAGTCGGCACTACAGCCCTCTAGGAATGCTGGGGCAGTCAAGGAAGGCACCAGCTTCGTCTGTCAAATTGGGAAGGGAGGGGCGGGGTTGGAATGGCCCAGGTGGTGGTAGGAGCCTCAGGTGCAACTCCAGGCAATTCAATTTAGTACCTATATATACCCACAAATACAAACACAAAAATGCAGACTTGAAATTATTTGCTTTAAGAGAGAGAATTATGAATTTTCAATATATATTTGATAGTAAAATTCATTTAGAATAACGGTTCAATGGGTGTCTGTGGATCGATTAAGACCGTAATTCCTGACAGACAGTAATTTCCACTACTGCAGGAAATCATAAAAGAAGTATTCATAAACAGGCAAATGTATGCCAACACACATATAAACTCACCATGGACAATGATGGTCCATTTTGAGAACACACCTGTAAATAATATTTAAACAGGTACAGATATACCATCCAGATCATGCAATACAATAGTTTATCTGCATGTTTTATATATATATATTGCTTTTTAAGGCTGTGTGGGATGGGGTTGAATTGAAGGGGGGGGGGGGGGAATACTGAGAGTGTGCAGATTAGGACACCCCCTTCCCCCAAACCAAATTTTTTTTTTTTAATTTGACCATCACTTGACCAAAAACTGGAATCCAGGTCTCCCCCATGACAGCACAGTGTCACAATGGCTCAACTGGCTGCTCCCTCAGGTCATGCATCTAAACTGCAGGACTGCCTGTATTTACCACTTTCGCAGTGTAGGCAGGGAGGTCTTTGGTCCTCAGGATTTAAGGCGGCATGGCTAGTGCTGTCGACATGGGCCTTGCAGGTAAGGATTTTACTCCCCTCCTTTCCCCCCCCCCCCCCCCCCCCCCCCCCCCATCGAGGATTCAAACCTGGGTCACAGGTTTCAGAGCCAGCATTCTAATAGTTTCGCCAGCTACTTCTCAAATCATGTGTAATTAGAGACAGCCCAAAAACTGACACTATCACGGGGCTATGAAATGCATAAACTAATCATAACCTTATAAGGTGCGACTGACCAGCTTTCTTCCCCACTGCTATCATTTCTTCTGCTGTAATAAAGATAATTTGTTCCATGCTCAAAAACTGAAAAATTACACACATATTATTATACAATACTAGGAGCAAATCAAAAGGTAATCAGCATTCACCTTCTCAAGGGTGGCTGTGTAGTAATTTACAGCTAGGCTGTGAAATTTGTGCTTCTCGACCCAACACACCACCTTGTACGACATGCTTGTTAAGGGACAGTAGGCCGATTATTTTCTGGTCTCCCAAAAAGGGGCCCCAGAACTCACACCAGGACATCATATTTCAACAATAAATATAATTAGCTAAATGGTTACATACAGTGTGAGTTTGCCGGTATAGTCCAGACACTTCCCATAAATCAAAACTAGATATTTCCCTGTTGTAAATTTAGACAAAGAAGATGTAACAAACAGACTGCATAAAATACTGTGCATATTTCACTGGATCTTGTCAGGTGCTCAAAGAGAACTCAATAAAATGAAACAAAATAATTAATCTTTTCAGCTGAGATATTTCAGATTTCAGCAAACTGACAGAGGGGAAAAAATGACCATTATACATGCAGAAACCTACAAGTAGTAAGTAAACTTTTTACCTCACCAGAAATCATATACTCACATGGAGCAAACAGAGCAATGGTGACATCTGTCTGGCTTGATACACTTACACTTTTCACAGTAACGTGGAACTGTAAGAGAAGAAGCTACTCCTTTCAAACTGATAAAAACATAAATTCTTAGGACACAACAAAAAGACATAGATATGAATTTTTATTGGAAAAAAAACACACTTAAAAACACAATTTAAAAAAAGTCTCAACAGTAACATATTCAATCGTACAGAAATTACAAAATTAAGAAATTTCTATAAAAATAATTGTTAAATAACTTCTTCTTCTCTTGTCCTGTATTTACTGCCTTTCAGCGTCAGGTTTTGAAGAGGCCTTAAGTGAAAGCCTTGGTATGTTCTCCTTAAATACTGGTATTTATGACCTCAGATGTTTTATCTATCCATCAGTTGTATGGTCGACCTCTGGGTCTACTTCCATTATGTCTAAGTGACAGGGGGTCTCCGTGGTGCACTATCTGGTGCATGTCTTGACACATGTCCAAACCTCTCTTGTCTCTTTATGTAGTTTAATTAATACTCGTTCTGTCCCACCTTCTTTCCTGATATATATAATAATTTCTGATTCTATTTCTTCTAGTTATATTTAAGATTTGTCACATATATTTCATTTCTATTAGCTCGATTTTTCTCTAGTCTTTTGTTTTAAATGTGCAAGTTTGGTACTAATAGCACAATGCTGGTAAAAATATTGTACCAAATAGTGCTCTTTTGGTGTCAACTGTTACATATTTGTTCTCCAAATTGGTGACATTTGTCCAATGTTTTGATGTACTTTATCACATCTGTGATCTATCTCCATTTTGATTTTTCTGTTTGGATGACAATATGCTCCCTAGATACTTCAAGTATTTTGCTTGCTTGAGTTGTTGGTTTTCTACACATATCTTGACTGGTTGCTCTGTTCTCAGAATAGTAATAACTTCTATTTTCTCAATGTTAATGTTTTGTGCTTCTGCTATGTGGAGATTATCTATGTGTGACAATTTACTTATCACATGCAAACACAAACAGCAGTTATGCTTTCAATATACCCTACCGAATGAAATAATGAACTTATACTTGACATAGACACAAACAAACTTACATCCTGCAACAGTTCTATTCTGAATTGGAAGCTTTCTGGCAAAATGGTTCAACTGCTCTTTCTGAATATTTTCATTTGTTTCTGATTCTAACCGCTGCCATTCTGACTGGTTCAGGAAAAACTGTGGAGAAGGAAAGGCTCAATCAGGCAAAACTAAAGGTATGAGCTTAAAAAGAATACTGCATTTCCATTTCATATACAAACAAAACTGTTCAAATTACATATCTAATCCATGTTTTCACTTAAATTTTCATTAATAATTGCAGTGTGCAAAACTGTTTCTCTCTCACTACACGGCACTGAGTCCATTACCTTCACATCTCATTTTTATTTTCCTAATGAATGACACTTATAGCAGACTTCCATGTCTCTTCAACTGAATCATCATATGCTATGCAGATGACCATAGGTGATCACCTTCACTATCTTACATGATCTCTAGTCTCTGATCAGGTCCGTACAGTACATAAAATTCAAGATAGGCGTATTGGCCATGTGCACCTGTGGAAAGATGCCCAAGACAGCATAGTACGAGCTCCAGGACTGCGCCGAATCAGACACTTGAAGGCAAACCTTTTGGCCAGACAGAAAAACAATGGAACATAAACTTTATGGATCACTGAATGAACTAACAATGACAGTGAAATTTATACAAGAGAAACGAAATTGTTGATACAGACAACTTATATGAAAGAAGAAGGAGATCCATATTATTTTTTCTTATTGTGTCAGGTGGCCGAATCATCCAGGAATTCATAAATTTTTCTTATCCTCTTTCCCTAATGATTCATATGCAGCAGGTAAACCCTGAGCACCTGCCTGAATGCTCACCCTCTCCAAGCTACTACCTGAAGGTTTGGACAGCCCCTATGGTTACAAGAATCTCAACCATGACTGCAAACCAACATGGACAAATCCCAAATATTATGTTCAAACTCTTCAGAAATATTAATTATAGCAGCCGTGAAGGCAACACAAAGTACTATCCTGACATCCTAAGCAGTAAGGATTAGCCTTCAGTATGACTATCAACATATAAAACAATATATGCTCTGCTTCAATGATACAATTACTTACATAAATGCCTCACAGTTCTAAATATATAAACCTTTGATTAACAATATCACTTGATGACTAATGTTATCTCTTACCTCTTTTGGAGGTCCTCGTATGTTGGCAAAAATAGTCTGGTAATATGACCAGAGAAACAGAAACAAGATGGGATGGTACAACAAAAGGAAGACAACTGAAATGACATGTTATTGGAAAAAAATATTAGCTAACTTATCAAAACTGAGTTAACTGTGTTCACATATAGAATTTCTAGCTGACACTTTAATTTTAAAATGCTTAATGATGGAAACTGGCGTTATGTTGCCATAATCACCCGCTGCATGCCGATTAGTCTATCAAATATAGGTCTAGCACTATATACCCAAAACATAAAAAGGCGTGGAAAAAGTTTTTTTTCCCTTAAATGATGGAAAATTCTTGTCTAAGCCTTCCAACAAACTGACAACTTTGCATCCAATATCCTCATTATCAACTTCAGCACTGCACTAAATTATTGTTTCGTAATTTTTTTTTTCTAAATAAATGCAATTGTAAATAGGCTACCTACATTTCCACATGACTTCAAGATGTCCACATGTATAAAGATCATATTCTAGTAATCAATCCTGCAATATTTTTCCCAAAGGCACTGTGAACGTAATTCTGAGACACTCATTTTGATCTCAGCTTGAGGGGAAATTTAAATTTAGCAAGAGACCACTTTGTCTTGACTTTGACAATATTATTGAGAGCTGACCATATAGAAATCAGTGGCAAACTATTGAATTTAAAATGGTCTACTTAAAATATATATATATATATATATATATATATATATATATATATATATATATATATATATATATATATATATATATATATATATATATATATATATATATATATATATATATATATATATATATATATATATATATATATATATAAGTGAATTTGGTCCAGTAACGTTATTTTTTTACACTGATCACAGATAAAAAAGCCAAATATAGATATCTTAAAAGAAACTTGCTCACACACAAAAACCCTGCTTACTTCTTAATTAAAAAAGAGGCAATCTACATACTTTGCCAAGGGGAAACTGAAGTATGTTGTGAAAGTGAAAACAGCTTTTACCTTATAAACAACCTGAGGGGACCTACAGACAGAACAGACTCAGCTTCCACTATAGCCCATTTACCTTGTAAATATCTTTTTTTTTAAACTTATTTTCTTTCAAAATTCTGTTTAAAAAAACACATCGTTACATTTCTCTGAAACTCTGCCCTAATAAACTAGAGGAAGAAAAGAAGAAGCAAAAGAAATTTGGCAGCCTGGTTAGTTTTTATAAATATTATAAATTACATAGACTGAAACCCATGACCTCTGAGCAGACATCTTAGCTACTTCAGCACTATGACACCCTTCTTCGGCCATTCTAACCCCTATTGGAGCATAGGAGCATAGGCCCTCAGCCAAGTAGCCATCTATGGCAGCTCTCATCATGTCCACCCCATCTTTTTAACTTCATTCTCTAGCCACCTTCTCCATATTCTTTCTTTCTGGCTGGTTTTTGTAGCGACTCGTTTTTTACAGGGTGAGATAGCCAACCTCAAGCCAAACCCTGTCCTTAGTCACCTCTTACGACATGCCTTGTAGGATACAGTGTCACTATTCTTTGCTTCCTGTGAGGCCCCAGTGACATACTATGACCCTCAAGTCACTAAAAAAGATGGATTTTTTAATATTTAGATTCAATATTTGAGCAAAGGTTAGATTTTTTAAATGAAGGGAAGTAAATATTAAATACAAACAGAGCAAAGAAATAAAATAAGCGTCTTTCTTCCCATCAACAAAGAAAATAGGAGTTTTTCTGGCAGCTAAATAGATCAAAATGACTTTATATCAGTTTATTATGTCACAATAAAAAAGAAAATGTATTTTCCACCCCAAAAAATTCTCACAATTTTTTACTGTATGTAAACATAATCATATCTACACATTATGCAGCTACAACCAGTACTAGTATACAGATGTACTGACCACTGCCAAAAGATGCCATGTCATTGAAAACCCATCAAAGTAGGAGAATCTGCTTTCTCTAGAGGCAAGGGTTAGAAGATGAGTACTGCAAGCATGAGTCTCTCTAAACCAACTAGTCTCCTACTGTTATGATAACCAGTCTGTGGACTGCATATCACCACTGTGAAAAATATCTTTTTATTCTTATTTGTTATAGTTTCAACTTCTCTCCCTAGTCTTTAATATTCATTTTCTTTACACCTGGTTCAACATTAACCATCCACTTTCTACTCTTGGTTTTAGTGTACTGGATATGCTTAAATGATGCCTTCTTATCTCTATCTTGATCCATCTGCTCATTTACATATTACAGACCAGAGCATATGAGGTGCACTGGATGGTTAGCTTCCTCAACACCTGCCCTTCGCAAAAACTTTCCTGGTACTAACTGTTATAAAGATGGGTCTTTTTTTTTTATTTGATCCTTCTCTCAGCAAAGTTATATCAGGAGGCCAGTAGCCTTGAATAAAGCTAATGTGCGGTCCTAATCTACCTGTGTACTACACAGCTTTGACTTCACTGAGGTTTGAACAGGCAGATTGCTTCTCCATTTAAAGGACACAGTTGACAGTGTTGGAGCACATGCTCAGCTTTATCTGGTGCCAAGTTGCAGGGTCACATCTCCCTGTTTCCTACAGTAAACAAACTAATATTTGTTGGCGAAGTCTGTTGTGCACTGTCGTTAGTCTGATTATGACATATTGTCCATCCTCTAGAGAGTAGAAAATATTATGTTGGCACCCAGCCATATTTCTGAGATATTAGTTGTTATTACTTCTTAATGACCTGGTGGGTTAAGTCACAATTTTACTGTACCCTATCGCTGCCACTCCTGGTCAGTTTGTTTTCTATCTCCCTGCTTTCTAATCAACACTGATGTAGTTGTTATAAAACAAATAAAACAATCTTGTGTCTGCTGCTGAGGATTAAACCTACACATCAATACTTGCAGGCAAGTGTAACTGCTTTGATATCAAAATCACAAATTTGATTCATGTCACTCCATCCTACAGATATTTCTCTCTTTGCCTACCCCTTGCTCTTTTCTTCCCTATCAATCTTGGTAGTCATTGCCAAATTCTCAGATCCACTCCTCATTACATGTCCAAATTTTTTTTTCCCCAAGCCTACGTCTAATTTCTCTGATCAGTTTATTATTTTAATCTGTCTCAAGAATAGCCTCATTTGTGTTCTATTGTTCCATGTTATTTGTTGTATTCTTCTGCCAGCAAGTATTTTTTGGTTTGTCTACTTACTGTCCATGTTTTACATGCATGCATATAACAACACTGGTTTTGTATAGAAACTTTAACAATCATTTTTCTTTTGGTGAACATAAAACATAAATTCATTCCTTTCAGAAATGAAACAAGAAGCAACGGACACAAGAAATATTAACATAATAAACCAAAATACTAATATAAGAGTCATCATCATGTAGCAGGTCCTTTGCAGGACGTCGCTCTTATCACAGTCTGCCTGAAAGAAACTTGGTCTCTCGCCAGTTCTCCCGCCTCAAGTACTTTCATACCCAAGGAGTCACTTATATTCTGTGCCCATCTTGGTGTCGGTCGGCCCCTCCTTCCTGGTACCATGCCTTCTGCTTTAATTTTTTCCAATCTGTCATGGTGCTTGATATGACCAAAATATTTCAGCTTCCGAGAAAAAATGCTGTTTTATTAGCCAATCTTACTTGATGTTCAGATCTTTTAAGATGTCAATATTTCTCCTCTTCTTTGTCCAAGATAAGCCCCTATTTTTTTTCTTAAGGACTGAGAGATAGTCCACGACTCACATCCATATGTAGCCACAGGAAGATGCATGCTCTCAAAATTCTAATACAAGAGTAGTCTAAAATAAAATAATATATTCTTGAATATCTTTGACAGATCTGTTAAGGATACAAAATAACACCAATCAAAGCAAACCATCTAACAAAACCACACATAAAACAAAAATTGGCATGTTTCATGAAACAAAATGTGAAATAGAAACAAGAGTTATTAATTGGCAGAATATTGATATATTTACCTTTTTCAGCAATGGTGTCTGCAACATCTGCATAAGAAAAAAAAAATTTCCCTAAGCCATGTTAAAACAATACTCAAAAACAGTGCTGCTCATTGTAAACATTTGTCAAGCACTATAAATTAAACTTAAGAAGCAAATTTTCAATTAGCGTCTCTCTCTCTCTCTCTCTACTGACTTACGGTAAATACAGACAGACAGTAGTGGCAGAGGATAATTCAGATGGATCCTTCTATTGGGAATACATTACACAACACAGCCAAAGTATCCAGGAAATCTCAGTGTTAAAGAGGTGAACCTGTTGCCTGGTACTATGAAAGTGGTTGGTTCGATTTGGGACTCTGCCACTGGGTTCACAATTCTAGGTGTCCTAGAGACTCCTGGGATCAACACAGGAACTATTAGGTTTTTGCTTTGTGTAAGATTCTCAGAGGATGAATATTTGCTCTGTGAAGAGACTGAGCCACATTGATCAAATCAGGTACCATAAAGTCCATCTGCTTGCCTTTACATTCAGCTCTTGGGGCGTTGGGGGGGGGGGGGGGAAGAGAAAGCTCTGAATATGTTTAGCCCACTTTTATATAAGTTTCAGTTATATTTGCAGTCTTTTTTTCTGTGCTGAATGATTTTGTAGTACTTTCCTTATGGCATGTGATTACGCCAAATTTTTCTTTTCTGTGCATCTGCTGCCCCCCCCCCCCCCCTTATGTTTTGATGTAGGGGCCAAGATAAGGACAAGTCCTGATGCTACCCACATTGGCCTTGTCTGGAGTGATTGGGTTTCCGTTGGAGATTCCATCAATAGTATTTAATGCCTGTCTCTTCATCAGATTCGTCTTCCTTATAAAGTTCAAGTTTCTCCCATATGTCTTCAAGTTCGTTCTGCAGAGATTTTTGTTGTCACTCTTTTGCACCTTTTCTTTGTTAAGTTTTCTTTCCTCTTGGATTGACTTATGAACCACTTGCCTGGTACTAAGAAAGTCATGGGTTAGATTTTGGACTACACCATTGGGTTCACAAATAAAGGTGTTCTAGAGACTAAGGGGATCATCATTGGAGCTACCAAGTTTGTGCTTTGTGTAAGATACTCAGAGAACTAATAGTTGCTCTGCAGAGTGAGACTGAGCCATATGAATAAAACCAGGTGCCATGAAGTTAATTCTCTCTCCTTTAAAAACCGTGCACTACATGTATCTCATATTTAACAGCAACTATAAACAAATAGACATCATTCAGAAAAAAAGTATATTATAGATAGCAGAATCAACATCCCCCCCCCACCCCCCTCCTGTACATCTCCACTTGGAGTATATATTATTTCAAAGCAGTACTTTTAAAGCAATAACCTCGCTAGAAATAAATATTTCCCCCTATATGTGCTTTCTTAATGATTTCACTAACCTGCTTTAAAAGATACAGATAGAATGGATTTAAAGAAAATGGTTGAGGTGTCTAAGGAAATTTCGTCTGACAGAAATAAGTTACAATTTTGTGCAAGGACAGTCTGGGTATGAGAAAATAAATGAGCAGATTGGCTTGCTGGCAGGGTCACAGTAGGCACAAGAAAAGCAGTGGATTGGTCCGCTGTTCTCAATGCTCTCAAAGAGGCAGGATGAGCAAGTGATTCAGGAGATGAGTGTCAATCAGAAACCTTTACAAGATTACAAAAACTTCAGGTCAAATGAGGTGTCTCCAGAAATGAACATTTTACTGTAAAGTTTACAGGTTGGCAAGGAAGAATAGTAAACCAAAAGAGAACTGGTATTATCAGTGGCCACATGTTGAAGGAGATACTTAATATGGGATACGAGGCTCAAGGACTTGTCCAATGAGGATGACTTGTAGCTGTTAAACGGATTCTTTTCGTTTCATCATTATTTTAACTCTTTGGCTGTACCGTACAGTCGCGTTTGGAAGTACACTGTTACTCACGTCTTTGGACATTATCCTGTTTCTTGGCCCTCATTGTTATAGGCGTAAAAATATGTTTTCGACTAGCTTTCAGCGAAACTGACAGATATAACTCTGACATAAAGATGAATAATTACATAGACAATTTTCTTCTCTTCGCTAAATCATTCCACAAGGAAGGCTTGACTGACAGTCTCTTACTCCTAAATCACAGTCTCCTTATATAAACTATGATAAACCTAACATATGAACACGTATTTAACGCAGACTTACTAATACACATTTCCACAACATAGGCATAATAGGACCAGCCGATAATGGCCGTTATAAATACAACAGGGCCCCACTTGATGGCTCTACACAGGAGAGCACAAACTTTAGGGGCCATTTTTCCTGTTTATGAATCGTGACAACATTAAACGTCATCAAATTATGTGGTGCCAGAAATATACTTTTATTGTTTTACTGTCAACCTTTTTAAAATATATGTGAATTTTTTAATTAAATACTATTCTAGATACGAATAAAGCATAGATTATTAAAATAATGGGTAGATTGCATTAACTATAAATCAACGGATGTTTTCATTGCCACAACAACCCCATTGTTTACAAAATGGCGGGGATGTCAACAGTTAACCGGTTTTTTTTTTTTAACAAACTAGTCATTCCAGTTAAGTCAAAAGTGTTTAACATGTTTATATGTCCTTCTTGCATTTCAAAAGAAATTGTAAGCAAAATATAATATTTTTCGAAATAATTAGGGATTAAATATGCTTTTGCTCGCGGATATATAATTTATAGAGATTAAATAATTAGATTGTTAACCACGGGAGAACATTCATACGTCTCTTTAATTTAATTTATTATAAAATGTGACGAATTATTACGAAACCGTTAAAATTTAACTGAAATAGTTCAGTAAATAAATATACAGAGTACAGTATAAATAACATATTTTTTTTTCAATATTAGTATAATGCTTCTCTTGGTTTAACTGGTTGTAGTTGTAAATGTCAGTGTTAGTTTTATCTTTTTCTGGTCTAATTATTTTATTGACCTATATATAAAAGAAGTTAATTAACATAGAATACTTTGTAGAATATTTTACCAAATTTTAAATGCCAATATCTGGAGACATTTGTATATAATTTCTTCTTCTTGTTCATTAATCAGTAAGCTAATTATAAATTTTAAGAACTTTCTTCTTCTTCTTCTTCTTCTTCTTCTTCTTCTTCTTCTTCTTCTTCTTCTTCTTCTTCTTCTTCTTCTTCTTCTTCTTCTTCTTCTTCTTCTTCTTCTTCTTCCCTTTGTCCTCCAGTGGAGTATAGGCCCTCAGCCAACTCACACCAAGTCGTCCTGCCCCTTTGCTATCATAGGCAGCTCACCTCATATCCTCACAATCTTTTTTAACTACACTCTTTAGCTCCCTTCCTCGTAAATGTTTTTTTTTTTTTTTTTGAGGTGGGGGGGGGTCTCCTTGACTTTATTTTAATGGCCTCTTGTGATCCAGTGTAAAGACATTCTAGTTATACTGCTTTTGGTTTTTCTCATTTGTTTCTTTTATTTGAAAAGTCCATGAACAACAAGCAGTAGTTAGAGTAGCTGGTGAAACATCTTGGTTTGAGGTACAGACAGAAGTTAGACAGGGCTGCATTCTCTCTCAATTCCTTTTTATTTGTACACTGAAAATAAACAGTAAAGAAGAGAATCTATTTCTGAATCTAAAGAAAAAAATTAATGTTAACGATGAATACAGCCCTGTATTAAAATCGACAAGGAAAAGAGACTGAAAATATCAAAGAATTTGGAAAAATAGGCTCAGTAATGAACAGCAGTGGCAACTGCACAAAAAAGTTGGAAAAAAAAAAAAAAAATTTGCTTTAGCAATGCAGAGGCTATGAACCTATGACACAGGACCTGCAAGTGAGTTTAAGTGAAAGTTTTAAGATCATGCATCTTTCCCCTGGCAACTTATGGATCTGGGTTGTGGACACTTACTCAGTCTCTGAAGAAGACAATCAGAGCTTTTGAACTGAAATGCCACAGAAAGGTTCTTAAAATATCATGGATCAGGAAATCCTGTATGACCTGAATGTCAAGGAGAACTGGCTTATAAACAGCATCCTGTCCTGTATGCTGAGATATTTTGGACATGTCAAATACCACATTGGTCTAAAATGGATACAGAACATTGAAGATGCATTGGCTATAAAAGCACAAGGGCTTGAGAAAGAGTGACTTTCAGGCATATCGTGAAGTTGTTTTTGTTGTTGTTATCGATCCAGCGGCACATGAACTTTCACCCTCTGGCCCAATGCCATGTAGTGGAATTTGCATGTTTTCACAAGCTGTTCTTTTCCTCCGTATAAGGTGCTCCACTTGTCTGGTCTCTGAGGGAGTAGCATTCTTCTAGTCTCGCTGAGTTTTGGGCACTGAAAGAGATGGTGTTTAACAGTTTCTTCGGGGGTAGTTACATTGCTGGCACTCTGGAGAGTGTTGTGGCTGCATTCAGTTTAGATGTCCACTGAGTGAAGTATGTTGTGTTCTGAGTCGGACGATGGTGGCCTGGTCCCTTCTTGTCAGATGGTTAATGCTGACTTTAGGAACAGGACTAGCCATATGTCTATAAACCTCTCTTTCAGTGTCTTCCATGGCCCATTTGTTCAACCAAGTCTCTTTGTTTATAGCTCTTATAAGTGTTTTTGTTGTTGCATGTCGTGAAGGGACTTGCTAATTGATTTGAAATAGCTGCATCTGTCTGAAAATAGATTTTCTTAGTAATGTCAATTCTAAAAATAAAATGTGTTTCTATAGTGACTTAAAAAAAATTCTTTCATCTTATTACGAGTATATTAGCGCATAAATGACAACATTAATAAATATATATAAATTAAACATTTCCATGACTGAGATTTATTCAGAATACTGTGGTAGCTTTTGAGATTTGATGAACCTCTTTTACTATTTCCTGGCATCAGTTTTCAGGCTTCCTGTGTGGGTTTCAGGGCCCCATTATCTATGTATGTGTGTGTGGTGGTGGGGGGGGGGGGGGGGCAGACAGACCCCTGCTCCTCCAAAAAGTATGTCTTAAAAGTAAACTAATTAGATGTGTTTCCTTTGAAGTAGGAGTGAATCTGCTTGAGAGGCGAGGAGCCAACAGTCTGCCTACAGCTAAGCCACATCTGTTAAATGGATGTGCATGTAAAACAAGTTCTGGAGCAAAACTAAAGTGCAGAAGTAGATGAGCGACCAGAACTTTCCACCAGAGTTTACAGCTGGTGAATTCGAAAAAAGACAAAGAAGACTGCAGCAGTCAGTCTAGGAATTTGTTTCAGTTTTGCAAATTTAAATCTTCTTCTTGCTTCTTTTACATTCATCACCAGCCATCTGTAAGACCTCTCTAAGTCACAGAAATACTGGTTCATAATAGGTGGCCATCTTTCCCCAATGCATCAGCGATGATTCAAACAGATTGCAAGCAGGCAGGGATGCACAACCTCAGCTACCAGAATCCTGCATAATTTCTGCTTAATTTCTGGTGTATCCTCAACATCGTCCAGTGCCATCACATCGGTAAAGGTTTTCTCTCCAGCAGTTTTATTCTGATCCTTGGTTGTAAACTCTCCCAATCTGGATCCTGACCATATCTTGATGATGCCTATCCTTTGATATTATTGATACCCTGTTTATCAAAATCGCTTTACCTCATCATGGTTTATAGTTGATTATTATGTCATTTGATTTTGCCAGCATTTCTCATGTCTCTAATGTGTAATTCTTCCAGCAACTTTTGATTTGTTGCAGGACTTCTCTGTTTGCCTTGTTTTCCCCATCCAAGGGGAGACAATTGTGTTGTATATTTCCTTATGTACTACTGAATGAATTGCCTAGCTCAGAAATATATTATCTCTTTAATTTCAGAAGCTGTGACGCCTGAATCAAAACTGTACCTAATTTTTTGTTAATGATGGCATCAGAAAGTCATGTTGTTGTAAAGTCTGATCCTTTTGTGAAAAGCATGTTATCAAGTGAGTATTGTAAAGAGCAATATTTCAAATGTAAAAGGAAAACAAAACACAAAATTAAAATTATGTTGAATTACTTGTGTGGATTGCTGTGTCTTTTAAAATAAACTTCATTGCTTTGATACTCCTTGTGTCTGTTTTACTGCATCTGTTTTCTTATTTAAGTGATCTATATTGACATTCATTGTATATTTATTTACTAGTTTAAATTTGGTACAGTCCTTCTTGGATGCTTCTGAGTAAGAGTCCAATGCGGGTATGGGATATAGAGTGTGGTGATAGTGAATGTCCATGTCTGTACTTCCAGGACATGAACCAAGGCTAGCAGAAAGTCGTGACTAAATGAGTTAACTGCTAACAAAAAAACCGCCAGGTGTCTGGACTGATCAACTGAACTACAACCGCTTACAAAACCAACCATTTTGACTTGAATAGGGAGCTCTGTACCAATATGTTGTGACTGTTTGACTCATGTTAGATTGTGGCTGTTAGAATTATAGTATGTTTTGATTTAAGTGTAGCAACTGATAGTATGAGTAATAATGTGTTTAGCTGGAGAGTAGTATTATTAAAGTGTTGTACAATGTTCAGCAGAGATATGATTTTGGGCAGTAATTTATGTAGGTAGCTAGCTAGGTATTGGAGTTATTCTTATAGTAGGGTAAGTGTAGTAATTGGCGACTTGATCTGTCCTCACACATCGGCACGCTCTTTACAGACATGCCACAGTCCCTGTGTGAAGTCTAGTGGTAGAGGCAAAATCTTGAATCAGAAACAAGAGTGGGTTCGGCCCAGATATTATCTGTAGAATGGGAAGGCCCGGGAGTGATTGTCGGTTTTAATGTCCTCATTTAGGATAGTGGGGCCCATCGTTTCTGGAGTTAACTAACTGCTGTTTATTGCTCTGTACATTAAATATTGATGTGTGTGCCTCTGTAAGTGTTTGGCTTAGTGGTTCGTAGTGATAGATTGTCAGTAGCTTACAAACAAGCCATATGCCTGCAAAGCAGGAAAATGGTTGCTGACATTCTGTATTATTTTTAAGCAGAAAGTAAATTCCATTACAGACACTGTCATTTGGCTGTAAAGTATTCGGTCATATTAAGATGCAGTGAACAGCTCCCTTTCTTATCTTTCCCATAAAATTCTTAAAATTATCTGGTACTCATTCCACAAGATTAGGTTGATCGTGCCATTATTGGGAACTGAAGTTTGCACTACTGGGACAATCAGCAAGTACACAAACATGTCACCTGATCTCTGTCTATATTTCTTTCTCTCCATTTCCCTCTCAATTTGTCCGTGCCCCTATCTCTGCCACTATCTGCTCTTCTAAATCTCTCTTTTTTTTTTCTTTGTATGATCTCTCTCTCTCTCTCTCTCTCTCTCTCTCTCTCTCTCTCTCTCTCTCTCTCTCTCTCTCTCTCTCTCTCTCTCTCTCTCTCTCTGTCTTAATTTTTATGTCTGTCACTCTCTTTGTCTTCTTCTGTGATTTCCTTTGTTTTTTATTCCATATTTTTTTAGGTGGCTCTTGTTTCTCTTTCTGTCTTTCCTGTTATACCCCACTCTTTTCTGTCTCTCTGTCTTTTTTATTTATCTTCCTCACTCTTTTTCTCCATTATGCCTTCCTCTGTCTGTTTATTAGTTATCCACAGATTCATCTTCATGGCAAATGAATTGCAGTGTGCTAATCGTTCCCTTTCTGTGCCAGTGAAACCACACCAAATGCCTATTGCTGTCCCTTGTAAAAAAAATTGAAACAGACTGCATCTGAGCAAAGCCAGTAGCATACACATCACAGTCTACCACTGGAATTGCAGTTCAACATTGATGGAAGATATAACAAGTCAACAGTTGCACCTGCAATATTGCATAAAGCGTCACCAGTTCTATGACACAAACCACCTTTACACAGTCACACACAAAAATAAGTCCATGTGAAATGCTCCATCTCTGTCTTTATCTTTGTCCACTCCAAGACTCTTGTTTCAGTCATCATTTATCTCTCTGTCTATATCTGTACCCTTTCCTGTTTCTCTCTCTCTTTCTCTCTCTCTCTCTCTCTCTCTCTCTCTCTCTCTCTCTCTCTCTCTCTCTCTCTCTCTCTCTCTCTCTCTTTCTGTTTCTGCCTCCCACTGTTGTTATTTATGCCACTAGCTATATCTCTTCTTTTTTTATAATCTCCTTGTCTTTTAAACTCCTTCTTCTTTCTCATTTTTTTTCCTGCCTGCCCATCTCTCTGTCTGCAAGAGCCTATATATCTAATTACTAAGTTTCATACTTGTTTTTTAAATGGCAACTTCCTAAATGTGCAGTTAAATTGCATATATTCATATTTAATAAGTATATGATTGCTGCTGAAACAAGATGATATTTATATTCTGAAGTGATCAGATCTGATGTTGGGAAAATGAACAAGGCAGAAACCTTATACACCAGAAGTGAGACAGAAAATGGAGATGTAAAGTATCTGATCTCTTCAGCTGACTGTCAACAAGTGTGGGAGCCTGATGTAGAACCCCTTGTATCTTCCCAAATATGGTTGCAAAATAATGGACTCAAGAAAAAGCGACTAACCCTTCATCAAATTCTTCCTACTATTGGCTTCAAATTCAACGAAAGTAAGTCAACTTTTGAAATATTAGATGGGTTTTTTTTTTTTTTTAAATTTTTCTTTAAACTGTATTTAAAAAAACATGACAGTATGACAGGATGTTGAATCTTATACTAGTCAAATTTTGTATTCTGAATGATTTGATTCAGTCTGGAAAACCTGCAGAATTAGCTGAATGACTACTATAAAAAAATTAGTAAAAGTATCTCCTTCCAACTTATGGGCTTAATTAATCACCTGCCCAATAATATTTATTATCTGCCTGTTTTTGTGTGGCTGTGTGTAGTATATTTATCCTAAGTGTGTGTTTAATGCCTCTTTTGATAGTATCCTCACTTTCTTATATGTTCACAAGAAATAACTTATATGTCGAAATAATATACTCAAGTTGATGGATGATCAGGTTAACAGCGCAAAAAATATTTGTTTGGCAGACTTTCTGTCTCTGCGTGCTATAAAAAATGAAGCATTAACATTATTTATATTAAAATGACATACACATAATCTCATTATAGAAACAAAATATTTAATGATCATCAGTGATAATTACTATCATTAAGTGCTGTAGAAAAGTAATTGCACATTGTTTTAAGACAGTTCTTCACTGACACTTGTTTTAAGACACTTCTTTACTGAAACTTGTTTTAAAACAGTTCTTCACTGACACTTGTTTTAAGACAGTTATTCACTGATGCTTGTTTTAAGACAGTTCTTCACTGACACTTGTTTTATGACAATTCTTCACGGATACTTGATTTATAACAAATCTTCACTGACACTTGTTTTAAGACAGTTGTTCACTGACACTTCCATACTTAAATATGTGCATTGTTTTCTTTTTCCTCACCTCCTTTTTTACTGCTTCGGGTGTCAGTGGGGACATGAGGTTCTGCTTATTGCTATTCTAGATGTCTTGATCATAGACAAATCATGTTGTTGTAGAGTTTCTTTCATGTTTTCTTTTCATCTTGTTCTTGGTCTATGTTCACTTCTGCGTCCTTCTCCTCTTTTAGTGTATGCTTTGAATGTTATGGTATCACAATGCATTCTTTCTAAGTGGGCCAGGTATTTGATTTGCTGCCTTTTTATGTAATTTAGAAGTGGTTCTGTGCTAACTTTGTAATATTTGCATGGTAACATACGTTTATTTTCCGAATTAGATGAGAGTCTTGAAAAGTCAGTGTCATCCCGCTATGGTAGGCAACTGTTCAGCCAGTTAATGCGACCAGATGGAAAGACATTTAATGTAAGTTTTCATGTCGCCAGAACTACCTAGTGTAGGTAGTTCGGTTAGAAGAGCCTAGTAATGCTGAAGTTTAAATAGAACATACAGTGATAGACTAGGCAGAGAGATAGAATCTAAGAAGCCAACATATCAGCTTAGCCCAGTCTTGCAACACCCAGTTATTCCAGAACAAATAAATAGACAGATTGTGAGGGCAGTTTTTATTCCAACTTTAGGTTACTTATATCAGACTTAGACATTAATCAAAGAACATGAGAGAAAACTAAGCACCTGTGAAAAGAATTGTTTTAGAAAGGCTGCAAACAAAACCAAAAAGAGTTCATGTGAGAAATGAGAAGATCAGAGAAACTATTGAACAATACCTATCATAAATTCTCTGAAAAAACAAAGACTGAAAAGTTCAGCCTCCTAGTGAGAATGAATCTAGTAATGCCAGCAGCAAGAGCATGTAACATAAAAATGGAAACAACAAAATATAGAAGGAACCTGAAAGAAGATGGACTGAAGGAATGACTGAAAGCCTACCACTTTACAACTTCACAGCATACGTAGTAATCAAAGCACACCCTAACCTGACTACCTATCATCTGTTAAATGTTGACACATAGCAGCACAAAATAGAAATTGACAAAAGAGAAAGTAACACTTCAAACTGATGAATCGATCAATTTGTCCCCTCTAAGGTGCCACATGAATGCTTACCACCGTGAGGTTGTTAAAAAAAATCTTAGTCTGAATGACAGGCCAACACAGAGATCCTAAGTACCCATTCAATCTTCCCAAAAACAAAAACAAGTTGTAATTAGGGCATCTACAACAGCTTCGTGTAACCTGCAGTAATGTGTGCAAAGCTAGCATGGAAATTTTAATAGCTAACATGATGCCTCCTGAACAGGTTTTTACTAGAAGAAAATTATGTTAAAACTGCACTAGGTTCAGGAGGCAAGAAGAAGACTGAACATTTGTTGATGTAAATAACCCAACTTGAAAATAAAGTCATCAGTTGGCTTTCTTAATACTGTAACTAAGCAAGGTAGCCATGATACTTTGTGTAAATGATTGCCTACTGCATAGGAAACACCAGTTGGTGACCACATTTTATTTTGACTGGTGCATTCAGACATCTTTCAATCAGGTTGTTACTGGCATTATCATCATGGGAGCTCTTCATTTGCTATTGAAGGAGGCACATCATATGTGAACAGTCCTGAGTAGAGCTATGCCAGTGCTTGACTCCTTAATAAATTCATTCATTCATTCATTTATTCATAGTTGTTAAATTTGTATAGGGCACTAGATTGGTTATAAATACAATGATTAATCTAGCACATAACTCTTTTGTGAGCAAATAGAGATGACCAGTCCAGAATTCTAGAATAGTGTGCAATAAAAATAAAAAACATGTCTTTACTGTCTGTTTTTAAACACTTTTAGAGTGGTATATGACGAAGAAGCTTGAAGGTGTAAGATGCTTGACTAGTGCAGACGCCATGGGCTGTGCAGGTTAGGATTTTTTGTTTTGTTTACCTCCACAGCAATCTCCATCCTTTACAAAGTATTGAACTTAGTCTCCACAAGAGAGCCATGCACTCTTTCCACTCAGCCAGCCCCCTCCTTTATAATGTACAATAGAAAGCATACTTGTAGTGCATAATTTTGTACCACAGGCTAATTCTGTCAAATCCAGGGAGGCAGTAGTAACAACACTAACTTATAGGCATACTGCACAACCTCTTGTAGGAAAAAACCATGTTGTCAGAGTTCCTTAGAGTCCCTGACTAAACATAAAATGTAGAAACATACATAACACTTTGCTAGATGCACATGGTCACACCCAATGCATTACTTAGGGCAGAAAAGGCTAATTATAGTAAACTCAGTACACTTGAATATGCTCATGCACATTTGGCACAAAAAGTTTTATTGAATTACATTTGGCTTACAGATTTCCTGCAACAAAGACAAATTGTACCACCTTGAGAAGAATCTGCTTCAGGCTATCTATCTTTTTAAGAGGCGAATAGAGTGGCTGACTACAGAGAGCAGACGAACTTTTGGTGTTATTGAAGAAAAATCTGTGATTATTGTACTAAACTTCAATCACGTGACAGCACAACAGTTCAACCAGTACATGACAGCACTAGAAAGTGTTCTTCGACAACAAGTGTCACAGATTTCCACATTTAACATCATCAGGTATTCTTTCATTTGGACATTTACTCTAGCAGCTAAGCATACTTTGAACTTTATTTCTGTTATAAACTTGAAACATCTTCATAAATTTGACAAGACGATGATGAGAAATTACTTCACTTAATCTTTTTGCATGTGAACAATAAAAATAGGTCATGAACCTGTGGAAATTTCCAAAACAAAATCCTTCAAAAATTAACAATTTTACACAGTCACTAATAAATGTAAACAACTTTATGAAACTACATTTTTAAAAAATTGGGAAACATCTATAGATATATAAAAGGATTGATTAGTAAACATGAACAGAGTAAGGCATTAAATAGATTCATTCCCCGGAGCTTAAAAAATATGTATTGAGGTACTCCTGTCGTGACTCTGTGACCTTTATCGCTGAGGCTACGGGAAAAATTTGACACGAACGTAACTTTAAGAAGTCATATGGTTTACAAGGACCCCTATGCTATTTTTAGTAAATATATATTCATACCTGGGTCTCCTAAACACTGTGCAGAGCCAGTGACATTAACCTGCACTCCTTGGAAACAGTTCACTACAGAAGTGTCAGTTTCACAGCCTTTACACAAATGTGGCACAATGACAAAAATCCTGGCTTTATGCTTCCTGGAGTGAAAAGGCTAAATTAATGGTATGCTTGACTGTATACTACATTTTCTCTCTCTTTTTTTTTGTTGAAGGCCTTCTTTGACCAAATGCTCAAAATAAAAGGAATAATCCTATTTTCACTCACATAGATGCATTGGACATATGTTGCTAGCCCCGTTTGTTGTTGTTGTTGTAGACAGACTAATTGGCATTAATGGGGTAATGATGTCAGTTTCAGGACAGCTGGATTTACTTCTCAGGGCATTTCCTGGTGCCCATTTTGAATTGGATTAACCTTTGATCCGAGGTCAATTTAATCATGTGATATGAGTTCAAGTTTGTGATCAAAGGTCCAACAAGCATGTGCACTAGCCACGTCCCCTAAAAATGCATAATCATCATAAATTATCATTTGAATTCACCAATTTCAGAGCTTGTGAGGACATGCAGCTGTTTAGTCCTGAGACTGTGTCTGTTTCCTGTGAAACTATTGAGAGTGCTGTAAAGTGGATATGGAGCCTAGATCCTCTGGCTGCAACCTCACAGACCTCAACTGTAGAAGCTGTTCTCAAGGCCCTGAGTGATAAACATGTGAGTGACAATTATGCATAGTTTTTTTCTATTTGATTCTGTTTATGTTTATTCGATAGATCAACATCATGGCACATGGATGTAACCCATAAGTGCTCTGTCCTACTTCTAACTCAAGCCTGAGTCTGAAGAATCTCAGCCCAGTGCACGAACTCTATTGCATTGGCGAGGATCCTGAAGATTTTAAACACCAAATTTGGCCCAGGCAGCGCTGTTAGGCTACTCTTGTTGATTTTCAACTGCTAAGGGATTTTTTTTTAAGTGCGCAAGAATTCAGGCCTCCATTTCAAAATTGGTGCCCAATGGCCTAAAACTTGATTGGTTTTATTGCGTCTTTGCCTGATTTCTTTAATAATTCTTCCGTCTTCTGAAAAAAATGTTTCCTGGATATGTAAAAATCCTTCACCTGGTGTTCAGCAGTTTTGATGTTGGTAGTTCTTCTTTTTCTAGAGAACGTTTTTATGCTGCTTTCAGTATGATCTTGGGAACCTATTCTAAACAGTCATGGATGCAAGCTTACACAGATGGATCAGCAACCATTGCAGTTAATAGCAAAGGTGCTGGCATCTTTATCATATATCCAGACAACCACCACAACACATAGTATATGCCCACTGGTCAATTCTGTTCCAGCTACAAAGATCCAAGCCAATATGACACACAACACAAGTTCTGACTGCCACCAACTGGTCATCTTCACAGATTTGCTCTCGGTGCTACAAACCCCCAAGAATGGAAAAAATCTCCACCTGAGAGCTGAACTTAGCAAAGAGGGCTGCCAAAAAAGCTTACAGTACTCCAGTGGGTGCCGTCCCACTGTAGTTTACCAGGAAATTAAACTATGAATAAACTTGCTAAGAAGGACAAGGGATAACAAATTTAACAAGCATATGGACAGGCTTTGTCTGAGTAGTTCGCCACTGTGCTCATATAGACTATGCACACAAACCGCACATGTCCTGCAAGACTTTCTCTTGTGTATCCCATTAAAAAGGGAATAGAATACTTGTACAGTCAGTCAACATTATACTTGAAGTTGTATGAAACAAAAGAGGACCTCCAAAAAACAGTTTTATCACAAAAACTTGTCTGTCGGTGTAAATTGAGGAAGAAGAAGTATGTCTTTGATGTTAACAATTTAAATAACTAAAATATTGAATCCTAATTTATTTCAGACTAGAGCTGTTTACTTATACACTGAAGGAACATCTGTAAATGATGGAAGGGAGATTTTGAAACATAAAGTAAATGAGGTACATTTTTTTGCCATTTATATTTTTACATATATATACGTATACATATTGGTTAAAATATGATTATGAAAGCAATATTATTTGTTGACTGTCTGTTTAAATTATTCTTGTGCACAGAAAGTTGACTGGTTTATGTTGTGTGTATTATTCTGTTTAATAGCTGTGGTGTGGCTATGAGGTTATAATGCCTACCTTTGATTCAGAAGATACTATTTTGAATCTCAGCATAAATTTTACAAGAACCATTGATCTTTATTGATTTTACTTATACCCTTTTGAAATTTGTAGTTAAATTTTTCACCCATGGTATGGCAGCCTGAAAAATTGACAATCACTTACACAAGAGGGAGTCACTATTTAAGTGTGGATCAAACAGGAGCAATTCCCAGAAACCTTATTCAACCTTTAAAACAGTTATATTTGGGCACCCCCAAGTTATGCAGTAACCTACTATCCATTGTGGAAAAGTCTGGGTAAATGGATACCTGCAAGATCTCACTTGTCCCCTGATATTTTGGGCTATAAGATCATGTATTTAGCCTTCTCAGATAAGATGGACCAAAATGAAGCAAACTGTGAACAGTAGTGCCCTGATTGTAGAACTGCTATTTTTTAGACCAGAAAATCATCTCCCAAGAAATAATAAAGTAAGACGACATAGGAGAAATTATGTGCCGTGTTTAGTTTTTTCATGTTTGGAAACAAGAAGTCGTTATCAAGTTCTGATTGGGGTTTATCATGCACTCACTGAATTTTGAATGAGGTTGTAATGGGCAGTGATGCACAATGCAAGACTCTTAATGCCTCTAAGCCTCTCTTACTCAAGCCTTCCTCATCTTCCTATGGTAGACATTGTTCTCCCTGGCAAGCCAGTGGAAGGTTGTTATTACAAATAAGCATAATATAGTTGTGAGATTGATGGTTGATAGATGTATATTTACTTTCACACAAAGGTTTTTTCAAAAAACACTTAAATAAAAGTTCCAACTTTCAGGTTCTCGTAACCAAAAATTCAGTTCCAGTGCATGTTGTTTCATTCAACTGTGATTGTCCTGAAACCATCACATTTCTGAGGGAATTTGCTGAGTCCACAAATGGAAGGTATGTTAGTGTGTTTTATTTTCAGTCATTCGTTGTTGTGATATATTTGTTACAATGATTGTTTTAACTATTGTAAGTTAGTGAATTAAAAACAATTGTTTCCTTTCTTTTTACTGTTTTTACTTCATGAGGAAATGATCCTTATTATACCATTGGCATTTGAGACATGTGGTGCCTGATCCATATTTTATAGAATTCTAGGCTTAGATGTCTATTTCATGATTAAATGAGATTTCTTAAAGGTAGAAGTATTGGCCTTATTGTGCTTCATCACTTTGTATAAGCTTTTTAAATTTGATAGTGTAAACTGAAATGAGGGTTTTAAATAACTAACCCAGATAAAAATGTATTTGAAAGATTTGCCTCAAATTTTCCATGGGCTGTTATTTAACTGTTGGATTGATCTGTCATTGCTATCCTCATGTATTGACAGGTTTCATGCATACGCTGTAGTTATGGATTTGGATGCTTATGAAACAAAATCTGGAGATGGTACAACAAACAGAGCTAACATTATCTTAAAGCGTAAGACCTTGGGTGGAGTTCCACCGGGTGCTGGAGTTAGAACAGATGTGGTCCTTATCTTTGAGGAGATGGAGGAAGCACGTAGCACTTTGGAGCAGTTACGTCTTCTGAGAGAAAAGCTACCCACTTTCAGCGTGCCCATTAATAGTAAGAATTGTTATTATATTCCTTTTCTTCAAAGAAATTCTAAGAAATTATGACCTTAGTGTTTATTTTTTAAATGCAAGCTATCTATAAATATGTCTAGTAATACACCAGTCAGAATGCTATTATCATAGAGACTCTTCTACAAAATTATAATTATGTGGAAGACCCTTTGCAGAATGTTGCTCTCATCTCATGAAGGTCCTTGCAGAATGTTGTCTCATTTCATGAAGGTCTTTTGCAGAATGTTGCTCTCATCTCATAAAGGTCCTTTGCAAAATGTTGCTCTCATCTCAGCACCACAGAAAGCCAGTCAGTGCTTTGCCAACTTCTCTGTCTCATAAACTTTCATACCCATTATGTTTTTGATATCCTGTATCTACCACTGGGCTGGTCAACTTTTGCCTTGCCTTCCAGGAAACATACCCTCCATTAATGTTCTCTCCAAACTGTGACATTAAACAATGTACAAGTAATGTTTAGTGTCTGAGAAACAGTGCTGTCTCTGAGATAGTCCTCATCTTTATTCAGATCCTGAAGAATGTCCTTATTTTTCCTTTTTGTGGTCCATGAAACTCTAGAAATCTTTATGTAACAAAATCACTTTTATTTAATGTTTTGTGAAATTTGTTGTATTAATTCCTGTGTTATGAACTCTTAAATATGAAAGGATTTTTTTCATGCTTCATGCAAGAATCTTTCTTGTTTCCTCCTTTTTTTAACCTCATTCTTTTCGGGTTTGAGGGTGACTTATGTCCACGTTCTGAGATAGCGGTATTTATATTACGCTTGTTTATAAAGAGATTATTTAAAAACAAGCCGATTCATAATTTAACGGGGGAAAAAATTGTGTAATAAGCTGAGTGTTTAACTTAGAACTGACATCACAACATTCAGGACATTTCTTTAAGCACTCCATCCTCATCTTCTACAGCCATTGAAGAGTTCAAATTCTGATGTTGCCAGTAGCCATTTGATTATATGTCCATCTTGCCTGTCATCTTATTGTACAGTGTCAGCTAGATTCCCCTGGTCACTCGCAGCTGTATTTGCTTGTTTATTGTCCAGGTTAGTACACCATAAAGTTGGGATGAGTGTAAAAACATTGAATAATTCTCATTTTAATGTGTAGTTGATCTGTTTGGATGTCAGTAATTTGTGCAAACGGTTGAAAATATTTTTTGGCCATTCCTGTTCTCCTTTTGACTTCTTTTTCCCTCTGCCATCATTTGTTATCACATGTCAAAGATAGTAGATAGTCATCGGCTTTATTATAGAATGTTGTTTTCACTTATATATATGTTAATTGCTTTCTGTTGCAACATTTTTTTTCAAATTTTTTAAGCTGAAGGGATTGATCCTGCTCAAAACAGCACTTTGACAGAGGAACATTTTGTGACTTCAAGAGAGTGGTTGAAAAGCAATGGACTTAATGCCAAAGGACTTCAGTGGCATGAGATTGTGTCTCGTTTGGCTTTCAGACACACAGACACAGTAGTAGACCTCATGCATCCTTGTGAAAGTCAAACTGATGCTGTAAGTTGGCCTGTTGTTTTTCAGCCTCAGGAAAAGATTAAGTATTCATGTTTTACTAATAATGATAACTGTATTTTGATTTTATTTTTCTTATTATTTGAATAAAGACACAAGCAACAGACTGCATAATTCATTGTCTGACATTTTATACTGCAGTTTGTCAATGTCATACTTCTTCATCTTCAGCATTTGCTCTTGAATGTGTGGTTGGCACATTTTATCTTTGCCTTTCAGCCCAGAACATCAAATTCCAGGAAACCCATAACTAGTAACCTTTCACTGTATGCTTGTTATGTCTTGAGAAAAAGAATCTCCCTGAATCTTCATACATTTGAATATTTATCCAGACAGATTTGTAAAAATTAACCTGACTGCCAGGTCAATCCAGCCTAGAATAGGCACAAAGAAATGTGTTGTCAGTAAAAGTGGATAGTGGGATTTTTACCACAACACTCATCTAGGGCTGCTTGGCTGATGAGAATACTGCTAAATGGCTTCTGAATCTCTTTAAAAGTGATAAATAATTTGATTGCACACATTATTCAAATACTACCAAATTACTTCTCAATTTCTTTAAAATTAATAAATAATTTGATTAGAAATATTATTAAAGTACCACTAAATTTCTTCTGAATATTTTTGGAATCGGTATGTCATTATTACCCAGACCAGACTTTTTCAAGCCCATAATTGTTGGGGTGGGTTTTTTTAATCAGCTGTTATTCATATATTATGAGATTTTATCCACGTTATCTGTAACGTCACATATGCTTTTCATTTAGGTCATATCCAGGAGCCACATTTCACTTTTGCATTGCAGTCCCCACAGACCAGTGTTATGTTAACATTTTTCATTGCTTCAGATCCGTGTCTGACTCATTGTATATATTGCAATTTTCCTATAATTTGTTCAATCCAGGTTGTAAAGCAGAAGTTAGTCAATGCCTGCTATTGTGATGAGCTGTTTCCTGTTGTGAAACTCAAAGATGGACAAGTGTTTCATGTCTTTGTTACTTCCGATATCTACAGAAGCTATGAAGAGAAGATACATGGAGTGATACATAGAATACAGCAGAGGTGGGCATTGACAGTTTAATTGTTCGTAAATATATTTCAGAATGTGTAACAGCAAAGCTACATGTAGAAATATGTAACAGAAATAGACAAAATTTGAGATTTCTTGTTTCTCTGGCTTTTTTTTTTTAGTTTGTATTCTTTGTCTAATTAGTATTAATGTATTGATTTGAATTTTTAACATTTAAAACTGTGGTCCGGGTTCAATCTCAGGCCGTGCTTCCCCCCCCCCCCCCCCTCCTTGATTATATTGCAAGACCCCCACACCCACCTTGAGTATAAGGCAAGACCCTCATGCCACGCCCCCGGATCTTCTCTCCCCCCCCCCCCCTCCCAATTACAACATTACAAAATGTTAAAAATTAAACAGATATATTCCACAACAAGGGAAACAGACAATATAGGGACACATTTGGTCAGAATGTGTTCTTAATCTATAGTTAAATGTGAGTGTTATCATATTAATTAGATTTGTAACTGTAGATTTACAAACTGCTTCTGAAAACAAAGTGTTCTTGGCTTTTTGTTTTATAAATAGTTATTAAAATATTTTATTATATTTATTTATATCTATATTATATATTTATTTATGAATAGTTTTAAAAATATTTTTTTAATAATTAAACTGAAAACAATAATATAACAGATTATTACAAATTCAAGTGCACTCAGTTTCAAAATTGCTTGAAACATTTTTGCGCCCCCACCTCCCCAGTGGGGGGTGCACATTCCAGGTTGAAGACCACTATTCTAGACAGTAGTGTTATATTGTTCATGAGAGTCACAGTCCATGGTGATGGTGAGTGTGACTGGCAAGATACTCTTGCATTAAGATATTATAACTAGTCAGTACCACCCCTTCTTCACCGAGACCTCTCAGCATGATTTTATTTCCCTTCTTTCCCACCATGAGATCACTTTTCTTAGTCAAACGCACAGTATATATTCCTTCAAAGTCATTCATTCGGCGCGTGGACAGTATGCTCTGTTAACTCTTTTGCACAGAGAAGCCACAAAACCTTCTACAATTATAGAAAGCATGGGATTTCAGGACCATTGTTCTTGCCATTGCATGTTTTTTATGTGCTTCTCTCAGATACTTAGCTCTTAACCTATCTGCAATCATCATCAGCTTTATACCTATTTCCATCCCAATGTTCCCTCTCTCTGTAACATAGTCTATGGCATCCAGTGCCCAGATATCCTGCCTGCACACATCTTTATACAGTAGCAGCTGACTTAATCATCTTCTACTCATCTGTAATTCACCATAGAGGATGTCATTAGGGACACATTAAAATATTTAGCACGTGATATTACAGACCCCTCACCAAAATTTGATTGATGAATCTACCGCAGCTCCCACTTTAATCATATTTAATTGTAGCCACTGTGTTATTACTTTAAAAATTTTTTTTTTATATTTGGATCATCAATTACCAAAAGTGTTAAGAATTAAAAGAAAAAATTTACAGTTGAAAAAAACAACAACAGAAAAACAAACAAAGGGGGTTGAACGCAAGACATTCTGATTGTAATGCCAATGTGATACCAGCTACACTAAAATATGTTATTATAATAACAACTGAAAATAAAACCAGTATGGTACAATTTGATATACAGGCATAATCATTGTTTGTTGTGTGGTGTAGAAGATAATTTAACTTAATCTGGGGATCCATTTCAAATCCTGTCAATGTTGATGGCTGTGTCAGATGGTCTTGCTCACAGCCAGAAGTACACACTGTGGTTGAGCTGATATCATTGAGCTAGCCATGGTTTGTGTTGTGTTAAGTCAATTCTTAGAGAATTAGTTTTTTTGCTACTGGACAGATGTTGGAGTGACCTCTAGATATAATGGTTAGCCAAAAATTTGTTCAAAAATAAGTGTGGGCAAACACAGCTTATGGTTGTTAAAAGGTGAGTTATTTAGTGGGGCAACTATCTCCATAACATGTTTCAGAACTCTGTGATATCAGTGGTTAAAAGCATCATACATAATACCCTCTTGTTGCTTTACTCTTCAGGCCAAGGTTGATCTTTTTACCATACCATTTGCAAATTACCATTTGTGTTTCATTTTCAAAGAAGGACTGACAAAATCTTTACTAAAAAATTTTTTTTTTTTTTAAATGAGTAAATAATAAAATTAAGATAAAATAAAAAATAACAACAATAATCAGTTTTAATAAAGTTCTGTACTGTTTAGTTTTGAACAAGAAACAATTAAAGCAGTAGGCAGTTGTTATTTTCTACTCCTTATTTCTTTATAAAGCAAAAGATACATCTGAAAGATTCCATATTTTCTTTACATTAATACAAATGTGTCCTACAGAATTGACTGGCTAAAGGCAGGAAGCCGTGCACTCTTTGGTACATTAGTAGAGGAGCACGTTTACATCCTCATCGACACATCAGCTTCAATGGAAAATAGTTTGGCATTTGTCAAACAGAAAATATTTGTTCTCATGCAGGTTTGTGTGATGTGTAATACTTATTGTAACTAAAAAAGTGTTGCTTATGATATTTCAAGTGTGTGTTTGGGTGTCCAACTGCATTATATGTACCGATATGTAGAGAGAGAGGGAGGGAAGGAGAGAGGGGGAGGAGGGGGGGGGGGGGGGGGGGGTGATTAGTAAAGAAAAGTAACAATCGATGATAAACTTTCATTTTTCTATTAATGTTGTGCTGGCAATGTGAATCACAAGATAAACAAATTAATTACATCTTAAATTAAAGGCTCAAGAAAAGTTACCCATTTTTTTCAAGCACTGATACATGAAACACATTAAAAATACTATCATTTGAAATATTAATCATACTGCACCCTGCATTTAATTTATAAAGACACTTAAATGAATTGAAAATGTACTGAAAACAGAGATGACTACAATCAAGCAGATACAAAGAAATTAAACCACAAAATTAAACTTCCCGTACCTTTTCCTCTTCCTATATTTTATAGTTATTAATGTAACCCCACCCCACATCGTTAGGTCTATTGGCCAAAGAACTCTGCCCTTTATTGAGAAAGGCTCCGGCTGAAACACCTAGTTTTCCCGGTATATGTGCGTCGTTCCCCTTCCCCCTATCATTTAGCATCTTAGTCACAGCTCAGTGGATTAATTTCTGAAATAAATTAGTTCAGACATCTTACATGAATGAAGCTCAACCAGCTACTGCTTTGTGCTAACAATTGAACAGACTGTGATTGTAAATTTTGATGAAGGGCAAGAAATGGATGGATATATTTTTTCAGGGGTATAAAAAACACTTTCTGTCAACAAATTTGGCTCAAGATAGATAGTTTAAACCTGCTTCTGTGGATAACGTTATAAATTATATGGTTTTCATAGCTCTTTATATTCAGTCAGTTTTTACATTCACTTACTTTTTACAGTGGGAAATGCAGTGATGTAGTGGTTAGATGCTCGCCTACTGACTTCAAGGTCTTGAGTTTCAATCTGCTGAGAAAGCATTTGGAAAAATCATTGACCTTGACTAAAATGAGTGTTAGGAAATGTTTTGCAGAGTAAAGACATGATGTCAACAGCATCATCCATCTGTTGTATGTGAAATTCACTTTGGAATTTACAAGAGTTAGGTGAAGTGTGGCTCATATTGGCTGTACGTTGTGTTGAAATGTTGTGTGTAAACAATTTAGCCTCGAGTGCTGGAGGTCCCTGATTCAGGCCCCGGTGAAGGCTTGGATTTTTTCACGGGGACTTCTAGTATTTTTCCCTGGTCTCTGGGTAATAAGATCGGACGCTCGTGTATATTGTTGCAACTGTAAAATATCCCTTGGCAGATGGAAATCTAAAAGAGTAGCCTAACAGCACCGCCCAGGCAAAATTTGGAATTACAAATCTACCCAAAGAAATCCAGGATCCTTTCCGGTGCTATTGAGTTCGTGCACTTAGCTGAGATTCTTCGGACTCAGGTTTGAGTTAGAAATAGAACAGAGCAATTATGGGTTACCACCCTTATGCCATGATGTTGATCCGTTGTTTAAACAAAAACAGAAACTTTAACCACCTAAAGTTATGAAATAGAGGTTACTTGAAATTCATAGGTGAGCTGTGAATGCCATGTTGTGTGGGAAGAGCGAGATCCATATTGAACTGGCCGTCGCTGTTGCGAGTGCATGGCATGTGTGATTCAGTAGCTGTCAGTCTGTGAGATAGGATGGTCATTTTGACGTGTTGTTTGACAGTTTTTAGTCATGGGTTTTTCCCTTTAGAGCGCTTGGGCTGTCTAGTTGAAATCTGTGTATTAGAAACTGAAGTTCTGAATGCTGACAGTGTAGACATTAATCAGAGGACGGTATAAGTGTTGGCCAGTGTGTTGTGCGTTTGGTACTAGTGCATCTATGTGTTACACTGGTCGGTGGCAGGTTGCATCCCTCAGTTCTGCTGACTTCCAGAGGCAGTCCTCAACTAGAGGTTGACCAGTGTAGGGCCATAATGAGGAGGTGTCTGGGATGGATACCAGGAATATAAGTGACTGGGCAGCAGACTGCAGTCTGATTCCCTTCATCAGGTATGGTTCATCTAACTCAAACCCTCATACTGGTGGGGTCTCTTGGCTAGAGAGTCCCGGGAGGGGTCACTGCCATCATGAAAGGTAGATGTGAAGTGGTATGAATGGGAGTTCCCCATAGCATCCATCGTGACATAGAGTGCCCGGGTGTTTTCGTCCCTGTTCTGGAGACTGCTAATGTGAGTATATTTGGCAGGAAGTGGTGGACTGACAGTGAGTCATTGATCACCAATTCATCGTCATCATGTGTTCATCAAATCATATTTAGTGTGGTGTGTCGTATTACAGAGTTTTAGACAATGTTAGTGGTTACGGTAGAACATGTAACCTGTGCCGGATATATTGTATGTGCGTGGACTTTGCATTACTCCAGTAGTAATTACTATCATTATGTGTTTGTCAGTGAGAGTGACTTGCCATGGTTTATTGTTTGAGGGAACCCTATGCATGTTTATGTAGAGGAATGACATTCGTAAACAATTTTCTAGATACTTGGCAGGTGTGCAATGCATTCCCCATTATTGCATGCCTTACCATCGAGTGCTGATAAAAACATGAGTCTGGTCATATGCCTGAATCACCTTTGCTTCTTTATTCACTTATTGTTTACAGTTATTTTACTTCATCTTTTGAAGAAGATTATTTTTGTTTAACTTCCACTATGTGCAAGATTTGTTAATTTACAGAGACACCTTCTTCAGCTAGAATAAGTTGAAAAAACCTGTCTGTGACTAAAAGAGTAAACAGCAAATGTGAACAATAATTTCCCAGTGGGAATATGTAACAGAATCTACTATAATATAAGATAATCTACTATATTTATCTGTGTATAGGATGCCCCATGAATAAGAATATCAAAATGTTTTGAAGCCCAGACTTATGATATAAATATTGTAATCACATTTCATGTATAAGATGACTTCCAATTTTAAACTTACAGAATTTTGGAAAACAGTCTTGTGCATGGAAAAGTACAGTAATTTCTTCTGGTATTTTTATCATGAAGTGTCTTAGAATAAATGTCATCACACTGCATCACTTGCTTCATTATTACAACTATTTGTATTTTCCTAGGAACAGTTGCGCTACAAGAAACAATTCAACATTATAGCATTCAACACAAAAGCAGTTGCTTGGAAAGATCGAATTGTGGATGTTTCAGAACATTCTTTACGAGCTGCATGGGCTTGGGTTCAAAGTTTAACATGTAGTGGGTCCACAAACACTCATGCTGCTATTGATATGGCTATGGGTGATCCACAAACTGAGGCTATTTACTTGCTGACAGATGGCAGACCTGATCAGGTGAACTAACCTATTTAAATTTGCTTCTTGCATAGCCATGTGTTGTAAATGAATTTCTAGGGATTTAAAATATCAAAGTGGTTTTGAAAACGCTGTTCAGTAAAGATAAAACCAATAATAAATACAGTAAGAAAGACTGTCCATATAGAGAGAGAATATCTTGTGAAAGCATAACATACAAAGCAAATAATAAAAGAGAGGAAAGTCTGGTAGACCGAGAACAAGGTGGAAAGATAACATCAGAGACACTCTACAACAGTAACAAGTATCTATTGTTGAGGCTGCCAAGAACTTGAACATTGTATCTCTCTGGACTCACGACGTGATACAAGACGAATTGAGGAAGAAGTCCACCATAAAACGAAGAGTGTCTAGATTTTACTCATTATGTTTTAATTTTTCTTTTGTAAGAAGCTCAGAATTGTTTGTACCTCTAGTTGCTAGCTGTTAAAATTGGATATCAGGATAGTGAATCCGATATCACACCTTTATGAATAAAAGTGAACACATATCTTGTACATTTGTTACATAATTTAAAATTATTATGCAGTTTGGAAATAACAAATAAAGAATAGGTTGTAAATGGTTATGCTCTGAAAATAAAGTTGCAATTAGAAAACCCACTCACAGCTTTATGGTTTCAGTGTGTAGGATTCTAGTGTCAGTTTCTGAATATTATTAGAGTGCACTGAGCACAACTGGTAGCTGTAATGTAAAAGAAGCAAAATTGAAGCATTAATGGCTAAGTTCTCTCTTAAGTGTGATTTGAAAATTAAAAGAAAAAAATGATTGATGCACAAATGATTGCCTTATAGAACAGGAATGATAATCTTAAAATCCATTTAAACAGTCTATTCAGTCCTGTCTATTACTATAACTCATATAGTTCTTACTATAACCCACTCTGTTCCATTTGTCTTCTTTCATGATTTTATCCTAGTAAGTATTTAAATTAACCCTTGATCTACAATAGTTGTTTAAAAGTAATAACTCGAGGAGTGAGCAGAAAGAGTTAAAAGTTAAGTAAACTCAGTGTCAGCTGCAGCTCTGTTTAAAGGAGTGGTGAGTCATGTTTTTAAAATGTTGCAAAAATGTTGGGACAAATTATCAATAACTGCATTCTCCAAAATTTTTCACAGCCCCCCAGCACAATAATTTGTCAGGTGAAAATGCGAAAGATAATTTCAGTCCATACAATTTCCTTCAACTGTAATGACACTGAGGCAAACACATTTCTGTATGACTTGGCCAAGGTTACTGGAGGCAGATATCATTGTTTTTCTCAGAATGGACACCTTGTTGATCAGCCTCAAGCATGGGAGGTTAGATTAGTCTTTGTAATTTATATTTGTGTAAAAATCCAGAATAATTAATGAGTCCTAGCAATAAAGTCAAAGCAGTTTGAGCAAATCAAAGCGACAGATATTTGGGGGGGGGGGGGGGGGGCTATGGCACAGTGGCTAGATGCTTGCCTACCAGTCAGAAGGTGTTGGATTCAAATTTGAATGGCATGTAGTTTTAAATAAATAACCTCGGCTCTCAGGCTGACTGCCTGAAATGGGCATCAGGAAATGACCTGTGAAGTAAAGGTCAGCCAGCATGATGTTGACCTTATAACTCAGTATGCCAGTTGGTCTACAGAAATATGAGTCTAGCATCACAGTGAAGGTAAAAAGATGTGCAGGACATGGGGTTGAGCTGCATGCAAGGATAAGATGACTTGGCTTCAGTTGGATCGGGGTCCTTGCTTCACGGGATCGGGTGTGGGGGGGGGGGGGGGGGGGGGGAGGGGGGTTAGGCTGTTTGCTTCATGCTTTGAAGGTTGTGTTGTCATTGACTCTGTTGTTTGATTCAGAAATACTGGAGTTTCAGAGTGTGTGCCTTGTGCGATGCTGTCAATGTGTGACCAGTCACTCTGCAGCAAGAGACTGAGCCTATGAGATCAAACCTAGTGCAGTGAAGTTGAAACTGCACAGGCACAAATTAAAAAGTGTTTTGTAAACCTGCTTTCTTATGTTAACACACAAGAAATATTCTGATAATTCTTTGCCCTTATTTGTCTTTAAGAGTATGGACATAAAAGAGCTGAAAGATGAAATCAGTCGTGGAATAGAACTCCTTCATGAGTTGGCAAGGCTTCGAGACGAAAGCTCCAGACTTTCTTGGAAGAAAGGAGCAACTGATCTTAGGCGCAGCATTCAAACGTAAGCACATGATTATTTACCTGCTGTAATTTTTAAAAAAAAGTCACCAGGTTGCGACGAAATACCAGCAGAACTAATTTATGCAGGACGAGAGGCAAGCGTCTGAATCTACCATGCACTATGCATGAAGATCTGGAACAGTGGCATTTGGCCTAAAGCAGGGAACAGAACAATCTATATCCCTCTCCCAAAGAAAGGAAATCTGAAACTATGCTGCAACTACCGTACCTTTGCATTAATGACTCATGCTAGGGAAATTTCCTCTTACGAATTATCATGAAGAGGATTGAAAGAAAATTACAAAATGAGCTACATGAAGCACAGGCGGATTTCAAGCAGGGTAGAGAAACTAGGGATCACATCTTTAATATGAGAATAATTTTTGAAAAATGGTGAGAATGGTAGTCTGGTAGTCTTAGTTTCAGCTTCATAGCAAACGGGTCACCCCATCTTTGTTCCGCTCCTGTGCCAACGAAAAACACACAGAATGTTTTTCACAGTATTAGAATTGCAGTTCATCATTGATGGTAGCAGAAGTCGCCAACAGATCAGCAGTTGCCCACGTGATCAATTTTAATCACAACACTGCACGACAGGCATTGCACCATTTTCTGAATCTACAATTCACACCAACACATTGGTCACAGTCGAAAAAACATTCAAAATGCAATCCGCAGCTCACAGGGTCATGCCATGCATTCAACTCAGAAGCTAGGCGACGAAACTATATCCAGTCTACAAATGGAGCAAAAATGCATCGGCCACCGTCCGGCAGAAGCAAAAAAATTGCCTTTGTTTCGAACAGTGCCGCTGCCTAACGTCCATTTTGACCGGAAGCTGAGAATACAACATAGATCTTCATGCCTGTTTCATTGATTATAGCAAGGCTTTTGATTGTGTTCAACATCCGGATGTGAGTCGTGGACTATCTTCCAGTCCTTAAGAAAGAGAATAGGCGCTTTTGAGCTGAAATGCTATAGAAAGATTCTCAGAATATTTTGGACAAAGAAAAGAAGAAATACTGACATCTTGAAAGATCTGAACATCTAGCAATGGATAACAGTTTACATTATTCCTTCAAATTATAATAATTATTGTTACTTAATTTACTGATGACATATAATGAAACACTTTCCATATGCAGTTACTTTACTGATGACATATAATGAAACACTTTCCATGTGCAGTTACTTTACTGTTGACATATAATGAAACACTTTCCATGTGCAGTTACTTTACTGATGACATATAATGAAACAATTTCCATGTGCAGTTACTTTACTGATGACATATAATGAAACAATTTCCATATGCAGTTACTTTACTGATGACATATAATGAAACACTTTCCATGTGCAGTTACTTTACTGATGACATATAATGAAACACTTTCCATGTGCAGTTACTTTACTGATGACATATAATGAAACACTTTCCATGTGCAGTTACTTTACTGATGACATATAATGAAACACTTTCCATGTGCAGTTACTTTACTGATGACATATAATGAAACAATTTCCAAGTGCAGTTACTTTACTGATGACATATAATGAAACACTTTCCATGTGCAGTTACTTTACTGATGACATATAATGAAACAATTTCCATGTGCAGTTACTTTACTGATGACATATAATGAAACAATTTCCATATGCAGTTACTTTACTGATGACATATAATGAAACAATTTCCATATGCAGTTACTTTACTGATGACATATAATGAAACACTTTCCATGTGCAGTTACTTTACTGATGATATATAATGAAACACTTTCCATGTGCAGTTACTTTACTGATGACATATAATGAAACACTTTCCATGTGCAGTTACTTTACTGATGACATATAATGAAACAATTTCCATGTGCAGTTACTTTACTGATGACATATAATGAAACAATTTCCATGTGCAGTTACTTTACTGATGACATATAATGAAACACTTTCCATGTGCAGTTACTTTACTGATGACATATAATGAAACACTTTCCATGTGCAGTTACTTTACTGATGACATATAATGAAACACTTTCCATGTGCAGTTACTTTACTGATGACATATAATGAAACACTTTCCATGTGCAGTTACTTTACTGATGACATATTATGAAACACTTTCCATATGCAGTTACTTTACTGATGACATATAATGAAACACTTTCCATGTGCAGTTACTTTACTGATGACATATAATGAAACACTTTCCATGTGCAGTTACTTTACTGATGACATATAATGAAAACACTTTCCATGTGCAGTTACTTTACTGATGACATATAATGAAACACTTTCCATGTGCAGTTACTTTACTGATGACATATAATGAAACACTTTCCATGTGCAGTTACTTTACTGATGACATATAATGAAACACTTTCCATGTGCAGTTACTTTACTGATGACATATAATGAAACACTTTCCATGTGCAGTTACTTTACTGATGACATATAATGAAACACTTTCCATGTGCAGTTACTTTACTGATGACATATAATGAAACACTTTCCATGTGCAGTTACTTTACTGATGACATATAATGAAACACTTTCCATGTGCAGTTACTTTACTGATGACATATAATGAAACAATTTCCATGTGCAGTTACTTTACTGATGACATATAATGAAACAATTTCCATGTGCAGTTACTTTTGTCAGCTCCATTGTTTAATTTTATATGAATGTGAGTTTCAGTAATTAATGGCTATGCCATCAGTGTAGGTAGGCATGTACCCAATATTTTCTGGAAATTTTCAAGTAATATATTATCCTAAAATCTACCTTCATGGGGATTTGAACCTATGATCCCAAGCCAGCAGGCAGTCATGTTGGCCACTGTGCTTACTTTTGGCACCTTTCCGTCTTCCCAGATGATAGTGTTATATTGTGCTATAGAGAAGGATGGATTCACCACCCATGGCAATTAAAAGCATGACTAGCACTGCTCGGGTTAAGAAAAGCTTCCCTAGTCAGAGCTCAGGATTTCAGGAACATTGTTGTTATTTTATGTATTTTACTTCTCATATGCTGAGCTCTCAACCCATGTACAACTGTTTTCTCCTGCATACCTATTCCCTTTCTCATCTTCCATTCCATTGCAGTATGGTCCATGGCATCCTGTCCCATGAATTCACATCAAAACTGATATCATTCATGTCTCGCTTGTGCACATCTTGATGTCCTACTTGAGGCTGACCACGACATCTTCCACACCTATGAAATTCCCCACAGAGAAAATATCCTTAGGGTTTTTACCGTAATCCATCCTCCAAGTGATAACACTGCTCCGGAAAAAACAAAATGGTGCTTACTCTTGACTGTTTGGTTTTCTTGTGAAAACCTTGTGAAACATGTTTGTCCCTCAAGATTATTTTATTTCTCTTTTTGAAAAATATTTCAGTAACATTGAACATTTCTTTGCTACCTGCTAAATATGTATGCTTTATGGCAGACTTAACTGATAGATTCATCGTCCGAATCACTTTCTGAAAAATTTTAATTTCATTATTATTATCAAATTTAAAAATATCTGACTGAAACAATTTCAGAGCTTCAGCCGCAGAAAGGCCCATTTTATGGCCGGTGCTTGTGTTAGGAACATTAGTATCCATGGCCAGTCGAAGATAGAACAGAAAATCCACTGTCTCAAAATGGTGCTAGTGTGGAATTGCATATATTTGCACCTAAAATGCAGCAAAGATTGTAAACAACAAATAAACATTAGAGAAACCTTTCCTGAATATTTTAATAGTAGTTCCAAACACAAAAAATTAATACAGAGTAGTATGCGAATCAGTATATCGGGACACACCATTAATGCAGACTGTGTGGTTTGGTCAGATCAGAACTTCTCACTTAACACACACACAGAAAAAGTTAAAACTTCAGTTTGCTCTGTCAGTGACTGAAACATACTAATTCTGGTTTTAAAAATTTGTATTTTTGTGTTAATTGAAGGGTATTTAGTACAGGGTATTTTAAGATGTGTCTGAATTTTAGGAAAAAATCTCATACTTACATACCTCCAAACTAAAGATATTTAAAATAAAAAGGAATTACACATACTTTGTTTCTGTACTGCATTTCAGTTTAAGAGAATCTGAGAAATGTACTTCTGGTTTTGTCAGCGTGAAAACTTCAGGTATGTCATTACTAATTACTATTGTGATTTTAATGTTTGTGATTAGCCACTGGACTTTACAACCGTTATCTCAGTACCTCCCCCAACACTTTGCCAGGGTGCAGGGTGGAAGAAGAAGATCTCAGTACTAATTTTTTTTCCCTGATTTATTGTCTTAGTATCAGTACTTTCTCTGATTTATTATCTCAGTATCAGTACTTCCACTGATTTATTATCTCAGTGCCAGGATTTTCACTGATTATTTTAAGTCATAAGCCTCTGTGAAATTATCTGGAATGTATGGTTAATTGAATTAAGTTATCAGCAAAATACTAAAGTTTTATCCATTTCTCAGTAATGATATAGAAATTTTGTTTAAAAATGATTTAACACAGGTTGCTTCGGCCTAACATCACAACTTCCCAACCAACTGCTACTAAGTATTGTTTATTTTAAAAAAATATATTGTAGGTAAAGTAGTTCTGTAGCAGAATGTAACAATGAATTGTAAAATGTTGGAACATCATATATTCTGGTCCATGTCACCTGAGTCCGACTGGTTGGTTCCCTCCTTCATTAATTTCAATCTCACATAATTAGCAGATAGTTCTGAAAATTATCGGTACTCATTTTTTAAATGGCTAGATTAACTCACGGACTGTAGTGGTAAACTAGAAAGTTATAACCTAGACCCCTTTCTTTACAAGCAAACACGCTAACCATTACATATTTTAATGGTTTAATTTTGGGGAAGATCTGGGCTTTTTTCTGGAGTGTGCAACAGTACTCAATACCAGCACCTTTTTTTTTAAAAGCATCATTCTTTCAGGGTTACTGGAACAGATATTTTGTTGTGTATACCAGTACCATTTGGTGACACTTTGTACTGACAACTTAACCATCCAAGACAAAGTTAGAAATGATATTATCAGACAGACTGAAGGAACAACCATATGCAGCAAATGCATTGAGAAACAGAAGATCAAATGGTGTGCTCATTTAGTCAGAATGCAGCCAGAATTACTACCAATGCAGGCGCTACACATGAGAAGATCTGAAATGAAAGCAAGAGGCCTCCCTAGGAGAACATGGATTGATGACATTAAAGAGCTTCTACATCGACATGGAATGACAGTAGCTATTGTTGCCCATCAAGTAATGGATCGCAAACTCTTCCTCCCCACAACACTTAACGGCAGACATGGAAATTGATGATGATGATGATGACTAACATCTATACTTTTAAACCCCCCCCCCCCCCCTTACTCCCCCCCCCCCCCCCAAAATGAAATAAAAGAGACTAGAGTTATTAAAGAGTTCCTGGTTCAAATTAAAGGTAAACCTGTAGCAATTACTAAACCTAAAAGTTTGAAAGATTTCCTCAGATAAAAATTGTATGTTCAATGTTTGTGTTTTTTATTAGAAACTGCAAGAAGAACAGAGAGTAAACAACACCGTACAGTGCACAGTTTATCCAAAAGAAGACCTTCTACAGCTCTGTCTGGTTTGTCAAAGAGTACAGGTGCACATCAGATTCTCAGTTCACAAGTAGACCAACAAAGCTGCGACCGAGTGTATGGACCATTTGACAGCAAAAGTCAGCTGGTTAAGTCATGGCAAGGTCAGAATTCTGGCTCAGTGTCTTATTTGGGTTTGTTAACATTACCATCCAACCAACATATATTTATTCATGAAATTAGAGTGCACATTACTAATGTTATCATCAACATCATCATTATCATGTGCCCATGTTTTACTATCTAACGGTGGGACTGAGTGGTCTCGAGGCATGGTGTCTGCATGGTGCTAGAGGTTCCAGGTTCAAACCCCGGTAAGGGCTGGGATTTTTTCACGTGGACTTGGACTTCTAGTAATTCTCTCTGGTCTCTGTGTAGTGAGATCTGACACCCATGTACATTGTTGCGCACGTAAAAAATCCCTAGGAAGTTAGAAATCAAAAAGAGTTGTCTAACAGCGGTGCCCAGGCAAAATTTGAAGTTGAAAATCTACCCAAGGTATTTCAGGATCCTCTATGGTACTACAGAGCCTTTGCCCTGTGTTGAGTTTCTTTGGACTCAGACTTGAGTTAGAATAAGAACGGAGCACGTATGGGTTACTAACCGTGTGCTATGATGTTGATCCATTGTTCAAAAACCTCAGAAAACCTCACTATCTCACACAATCACAAGAATCATGGATCAGGTCAGTAATCTTGTCTTGCTCAATCCATATGGCCATGTCATCCATGTATTTATCGCTTTGCCTTCCCCTCACTCTTATTTCCATCAGTCTTGCCATTCATGGTCAAATTCTTGAGTCTGTTCCTTCTCATAATCTGTCTACAAACTTTTACTGTACACTTTCTAAATTATCTGATCTGTTCAGAGTTGTTATCTGTCTTCAGGACTGCCTCAGTTGCTTTTCTATTATTCCAATTTGCAGTGTTCTTAAAAACCACAACTTTGCTGTAAGTGTTTGGCTTTTTATTTACCGTGTCTCACTTGCACTTTTTCTCTCTCTGTAGTTGATATATTTTTATTAGTGTATATCTTTTTGCATCTTGTTGAAGGCCATTTTTGCCATGGTGATAGTTATTCTAATCTCTGCAAGACATCTTGCATCATCAACTGTTCAAAGATAGATGTTTTCTTCAGTTGCTAAAGAATTTTGTCACTTGCATGGATTTCACACAGTGTTAATGTCATACAATTCAACTAATGTCATACATTTAATTAAAGAACAGCACATAATCTCTCCTCAGCAGTTATTAAAACCTTTCCATACTTTTATTTTCATGTAGACAAGTTTTAATTAATTAATTTATGTGGATTAACAATATGTACACCTGACTAGAGCTTTTTGTTGCTTAACATCTATTTTTATATCTGTAGGACTTAACAGAGGTCGGCATTATCATACAAAAACCAGCAGTGGCAGATTTACTCCAAATGAATGGATGCTTCCAGAGACAAAAGTGTTATTTCAAAAACAGGCAGAGAAACGAAGAGCTGATTCAGACAGTAAGTTTGTGCTTGAAATGATTTGATTAAACAAAAATGATATAATGTGTTAAAATATGGCAATGACATAGTTGTATAAATGTTAGGTGGCTGAGGGTTCAGAGTGCTGGCCTTTATGCTGGGGACCTCTGTTTAATCCTCAGCAAGGGATGGAGACTTTTGTCTGGGGCAGAATTAAAAATACTAACGTGCACAGTTTGTGATGGCCTCGCTGACCATGTAGCCTTAAACCCCAGTGACACTTTAAAAAAATGATAATGACTCCATTAAAAAATTCCAGGATCAGATACATATTTTTAAAAATTCTTTATTTACAGAAGTCACTAAGAAATTTTTAAAAATGTATTTATCTGCATTTTAAAACAGGGTGAGGCGTTAAATAAAAAACATCACCCAGGACCTAAAAAACACACATTGTATTAGGTGACTTGCCACAATCCTGTTTCCTCTATCACTGGGGCTTATGAGAAAATCTAATGTCAGCTTAGCTTCAAAAAACTTTTTAAGCTCAAAGGACCCCCCCCCCCCCCTACCCTTTTTGCCCATGTATTTATATCCCAACCTCCTAAGTGTTTGCACAGGCACGAACTCAGCATCTCATAAATAAGTCACTGTAGACAAGTCAGAAATATAGTTTTACAGTGAATTGGACCCAACTGGAAGTGTCGCTTTTTCTGCTTCATTGGGTGAGTGAGCCCTGTCACTTAGACATAATGGAAGCAGATCCAGAGGTCGACCACGCAAGCGATGGATGGATGGAATGTCCAATGCCGTAAATACCAGCATCTACGTAGCACATACCAAGGCCAGCACTCATATGGCTTGATCTCTCCCCACTTGATCTCTCACCACCCAAGAGCATTACACAAAGCTCAAGCTCCTTTACTCAAGCAACATCCCTCTTGGATATCTAAAACACTTGCACTTTCATACAAATTCTTAAATCTAATCCAGAGCTTTCAGAGCATGAGTCAAATGGCTAAACCTCTTTAGAGCTAACAATGTTTTAAGGCCCCAGGTCGAATTGTCAACTGTATTTCACTTCCTGAAATCATTTTCCTCTTTGTGCTTGGAAGCTTGTTTATAATGGTAGGATGTGTGATAGAATTTGGATTTTGAAAGTGCATAGAAGCCAGTGTATAACATATAGTCACATTTATTCCACCTTTCTGTGTGACATCATTACTGCAGCACATCATTTGTTTCAGTTTCTTCTATCTACAGCCAGTTCTACTGTTTAAGTTTTAGAAATGATGTCGATAGAGCATTTTATATGTGTGCCTGCATTTGTGCGTGCGTGCGTGTGTATGTGTTTTTTCTTCCAACCATGAGTTTGAGGATTTGATGGTCATTGTAACATATTCTGTGCCATAAGTAAGATGACAATCTTCTGTACTCATCCGCTATCCTTCCCTGAGAATGAAACAAAAAAATTAACTATTTGGGTCCTGGAAGATGTCACATTATATGTCCAAAGGGAATAAATATCACAGTAAAATGGTTTGATCACAATCGTGAGATATAATGGGCTGTATGATAAAATACATAGCCAGATTTCTTAAGAATGCTCGAACCAAACATAAAAGATATCTTACAGTTACACATCAGGTAGTTTCTGATGCCCTTAATCAAAAGCTGATCACATGTGGTGCTGTTCTTAGGACATATCTACCATTGCTTCTAGTATCAACAGCAAAGAGAAGATAAAACACAGAATGCTTCTATTTGTAACATTTACCATCATTTATCTCTGACTTTAACTTGAATAAATCATCAAAATTAATGCAGTTTTATGGCCATTGTTAGATAGTTAAGGAATTATTTAATTTAATCCATTCTGTAATTGTTTACCTAGAACACTCAAGTAGACGCCTGCTTCAGTCACAATTCACTAAATCAAGCAAGCCTAGTGTGACTTCATCAGTGACTGAAAGTGTGGCAGGTTAGTCAGTGTGACTGATTATTATATTAGAAAATGTTAGGTAATGGTGGCATATTGCTTATTGTACTTTACTACTGAGACAGCTGAATGTGTTCAGTTTGCAGAAGTTATAGGATTTTTCCTCATTGGTACAGCTCTGCGATTGATTCAGCTTTATTTTAAAAAAAAAGTATAGAAAAAAATTGCTTTTTGGATACTTTCCAGAATTTTCTGTGAATTGTCTGTGAATTGTCTGAAGGCCAGGTGATATGGAAGAGAACTGGTAATTCCACCTCATATGTCAGGGCCTAGAAAGCATGGAGACGTAACACTTCACACTCCCAGTATCTCCCCTTATCTACTTCCGGTCAAAATGGACGTTAGGCAGCGGCACTGTTCGAAACAGAGGCAAATTTTTTGCTTCTGGCGGACGGTGGTCGATGCATTTTTGCTCCATTTGTAGACTGGATATAGTTTCGTCGCCCAGCTTCTGAGATGAATGCATGGCGTGACCCTGTGAGCTGCGGATTGCATTTGGAATGTTTTTTCGACTGTGACCAACTTGTTGGTGTAAATTGTAGATTCAGAAAATGGCGCGATGCCTGTCGTGCAGTGTTGTGGTGCCCGTATGTGATTAAAATTGATCGCGTGGGCAACTGCTGATCTGTTGGCGACTTCTGCTACCATCAATGATAAACTGCAATTCTAATACTGTGATAAACATTCTGTGTGTTTTTCGTTGGCACAGGAGCGGAGCAAAGATGGGGTGACCTGTTTGCTATGAAGCTGAAACTAAGACTACCAGACTACCAGACTATTCCCAGTATCTGTGGGACTACCTTTACCTTTTAACTACATAAAAAGTTTTTAGTTGATGCAGACTTTTTTTTAAACAATAATTTACCTGTTAGCAATGAGGGTCCTGGCCACTGATACGTAAAGATAAGCTCTGATCTGAAACAACCTTTGCACAACATGCTCTTCAGAAAAAAGGGCAACCAAATAAAAGGAAGCAAATCATGGCTTCACCTTTACCTTTTAACTACATAACAAGTTTTTAGTTGATACAGACTATTAAAACAATCATTCACCTGTCAACAATGAGGGACCTGGCCACTGCCAGTACTGAGAAAAGATTACTTCTGCTTCTGTTGCAGGGACTGGTTCTTTCTCCCATTGATTATGCTTTAGCCATTCTCTGTGTCAACCATACTCAGATAGAACACTTGAAAAGGTACATAATAAAGACATGTACATTATTCTGGGGTGCATAAAAGACACCTCTTGTGTAGCTGTGAGATAGCTTCTTCACTCTCTGACCAAGAACTACAGGAACAGTATTTGGAGGGCAGGTGCACACGTAAAGATAAGCTCTGATCTGAAACAACCTTTACACCACATACTCTTCAGAAAAAAAGGGCAACAAAATAAACAGAAGCAAATCATGGCTGGTTAGAGCAGAAGATGATATCAAGCAGGGCTGCAGTCTTACAGACATTCACCATGGTGAGGTATGGATACCTGTGCCTAAAGCGCTCAAGGCACATTCTCATGTTATCACACTTGATAGGAGTTGGAGTTGTCGGGAGCAGAATACTGTTGCTGTCAATGCTGAGGTCTAAGCGCTTATCAGGGACAGTTTATCTGAGGCAGGTGGACTGATCTACTTAGACAGGTCCAAGGATACAAGAGATACAGCTGGCTCGTATGCAAAACATTCCAGGAAGCCAGCAGTGACATTGGTATGACTACCAGCAGCATGGCCATGGAGATGATGGCAGTGACATTGGTATGACTACCAGCAGCATGGCCATGGAGATGATGGCAGTGACACACATGTTTTCATGTGGCTGGAATCACAAGACTATTTCCATGGCTGTGTGCTGAATGATTTTAAGAGCATGATCCGGTGGATCCAAGCAGGCTGCCTGCCTTAGCCACAGATGCTGGGAAACAGTGACAGCAAGAGTGAAAAATAGAACTGGCAACAGAGAGATTGAGTTCCTCTTAAAATACTGAATGTAACAGGAAGTAACATATCTACAAATGATGACTGCTTTTTCCCCCAAACCATTTTGGAATCTATCTGTGAGGCAGCCCCCTCTGTGTTAAGGTCCGGAAAAAAATGTGTTTTTCCTCTTCTTGGTTCATAGTCTAAGAATCTTCCTGTAGCATCTAAATTCAAAAGTAATGATATTTTTCTATATTACTTGCAAAACAGTCTGCAACTCTGTATTTTGGTGTATTCATCACTGTTATTTTCATCATTGGTTGGGTGTCAAACTATTCAGCTTCTTCTTACTATTTGTTCTTCTTTGCATTCAGCAGCAGTAAATTCCACTAGAAAGTTCTGGTGTTCCTTCATCTCTGGACTTTAAATTTGTTCCAGCACATGAGTGTTTGCACATCTGTTTTACAGATCTGGCCTATTGGTTTGCAGACTGTTGGTTCCTAGCCTTTCAGGCAGATGCACTTCAACTTTAGAGGAAGCCCTCAGTTAGTTGACTCTTATGACATGCTTTTTGGGGAGGCAGTGGGTCTATTCTTGTTTTCCCTACTGTGGGCCCCTGGAACCCACAAGGGGAAACTATTCAATGTAACTAGTTAAGTTAGTTATCTATTAAACATTCATTTTTATATCAGTTCTTCATTGCTTTTGTCTTCTAGTTGCAAACCAGAGTTCAGAGAAAGGAAAAACATTGTCAAGCAAACAGTGGCTTGCTAAACATGGCCTTGCAGCAAAGCATTTAACAATCATGGACGCCCTTGGAAGCACATTTGTTTCACACAAGCCAAAATATGTCTCAGTTCTGGATAAATATATTTCAGGGAAAGTGTTCAATGAGGTAATTGTTCTCTGTGTTTGTTTTTTTAATTTTGTTTTGTTTTAACTGTAAATTAAATCTTGATGTGATTGTGAAGAAAACAAAACATTGAAGATGCTGTATATAACTTACTTGAGATCAAGCAGCTCACCTTGCCCAGTCCAACTGTAATATTAACTACTCATGCAATCCCAATTGTTGCTTCACCCTCATTTATCCCATTATGATATTATTTTAACTATTTTAGACTGAGTCTCTGTTTATCATTGTTACAAATATAAAGAGTTGAAGAAATGTTAGCATAGGACTGAAAGAGTTTACATTATATGTCATATGGGGCTTACAGTATATTTCTCCATCCAACTCTTCAGGCCAAAATGGAGGAAAAGCTTGGCAGAATTTTTTATTGTTTTGTTTAATATGGCGGTGACCAATTTATGTGAGAGCTGGTGAAATACCTTATGTAAGAATTCTACGTGTGTATAGTAACCAGCTTATTTTGCCCGACTACTTCCATCAACGACAAAGTGCATTTCTCGTGGTGATTGTTGGCTTTGCTGCCTCAAGCAACTGAAACATGCATTTAGTGCATGCACATATTTCTGGATTGTTTTGGCAGTAGTCCTTCATTTATAAATTTTTATAAGCAACAGTGAGGGACACTTAAATTGATTCACACTGGCAGAGGAAAGAAGCAAGTGTAGGGAAACCCGATTGTGGTCATGATGAAACTTTGACCAACTAAACTAAACTATCTCCATCCAACTCTATCCTGTGCAGTCATTTCAATATCTTTGATGGAATCCATTCCAGCACATCTGGCCTGTCTCATCAACGTTTGCTGTAGGGTTTCTTTTGGAAGTGCTCATTTCTTCCATTTCCCATTTCAGTGCCTGTTTGGTGATTCTCTGTTCATCTTTTCTTGGAATGTGTCCAATATAACACCATCTTCTTACTTATAACTGTTGATACCAGTGGTTGTCCAGACATTTCTTCACCCCTCTTGAATTCATCCCATCCATCCACAATCATAATGCAAAATAAGAAACTTAAAATTGTTAGCATATAATTATACAGATCTAATCACAAACCTTCAGTGTTTATAAACTTATGTAGGAGCTAAGAACAACTGGTGTTATTGTAATGTCTAAAGTTCCAAACAGTATTTGTAAGCAGCTGCCTGGGGTATAATAAGCTGCAGAAATAATACCTGGTGCTGAATGAGTTAAAACACAAAATCAGCTTTTAATAATAGAACCTATTTTTTCAAACTATTTCAGATTATGCCAATGGCATTTGTGTCTAGTGATCAAAGAATGTATTTCTTCAATCCGGATGGAATTAACTTGAAGGAGTATGAGAATAGTGTCAGAGCTGCCATGGACAAATTTAGAAAGTATGCTTATGTCTTATCTTTATTTGCTAATTTGCTAAGTTAACCTGTCGTTTACATAGGTACTTTGTAACTGAGAAAATCTCTTTAAAATAATGTTCATATTATTCCTTCCCTGAGTAGGTTCCCTGGCCCTATTATAGGGAAAACAAGAATAGACCCACTGCCTACCCAAAAGCACGTCATAAGCGTCGACTAATTCGGAGCTTTCTTTGAAGTCAGAGGGCATCTGTCTAAGAGGCAAGAAACCAGCAGTCTGCATACAAATGAGTCAGATCTGTGAAACTGATGCACACACAACACTCAGGTTCTGGAACAGGACTGCAGACCTTTCCACCAGAGTTTACAGCTGGTGAATGTGAAGAAAGAACATTATACCCCATTTTAGGGTGATGTGGATAATTTTAAGACTAAGGATTTATCAGCCCATGAAAGTTACAGTTGCCACACACAGTGCTAGTCAGGATTTTTGTATGCCTGTGACAGAAAATCTGATAACCTTATCAAGGATTTTAAATCTGAATGAGAGCTCAGCATCCTAACCATTTGCCCAGTCACTCCTCTTAAACATTCTGTAAAATTTGAACAATCATATTTTTTTTAAGGAAGGGGGGGGGGGGGGGAGTAATAACGATTCTTGTCCACGCCTTCAGGCATATTGGGTATACGGAGCTAGACCTATATGTTTTCTACCAATTGGCATTCTGTGGGTCGTGTGGTCAACCTCATGCCAGACACCTGGCACTCTGTGGGTGGTGTGGTCAACCTCATGCCGGACACCTGGCACTCTGTGGGTGATGGGATCAACCTCATGCCAGACACCTGGCACTTTGTGGGTGATGGAATCAACCTCATGCCGGACACCTGGCACTCTGTGGGTGATGGGATCAACCTCATGCCGGACACCTGGCACTCTGTGGGTGGTGTGGTCAACCTCATGCTGGACACCTGGCACTCTGTGAGTGATGTGATCAGCCTCATGCCAAACACCTGGCACTCTGTGGGTGATGTGGTCAACCTCATGCCAGACACCTGGCACTCTGTGAGTGATGTGATCACCTCATGCCAGACACCTGGCACTCTGTGGGTGATGTGATCAACCTCATGCCAAACACCTGGCACTCTGTGGCTGATGGGGTCAACCTCATGCCAGACACCTTTATTTCTCAAGACTTCACCTGGTACTCACTTATGGCTGGATTGCCCTGGGAGCCATGGTCTTTTTCGAAAAAAGTCAACTCCTTCAGAACCTGAACCCATGAACTTGTGACCCACAGATAAGGGTCTAGCCACTACACCCCCACTGCTCTCTTAAACAGTCATATGATTGTATGCAGAGTAAAGATATCATAACCTTATTGTTTTTTGGCTTGTATTACATTTAGGCCTTGCATGGTATATTATTGGATGGGTGTTAGAGTGTTTAAATTGCTGTGTATATTCTTGTGTTTTGCCATCTTTGTGTTCACAGACGACTAAATACTATTGTGTGGGAAGCACTGCCACCATCTTCAAGAAAAGAGTAAGTTCAGGCCTTTTATGTTCATGTGATTCTATAGAATTTAATAATAACCATCATCATCTTCCACCATTGCTATAGAATGACATGGGGAGGATTGTATTGTCATTCCCTGTAGAGGTGTCATGTCTTTAATGCCATCAGTCTTCTCCTTGATCACCATCTAAATATCAGATCTTTTAGAGCGTATCACCTGTGTTGGCAATTGCTGTGTCTGCATTCTAGCAAGATGACCAGACCATTTCTTCTTCTTCTTCTTCGTATTCAACAGTCGTGAACTCTGGTGGAAAGTTCTGGTTGTTCGTCCACTTCTGGACTGCAGTCCTGTTCTAGCACCTGAGTGTCGCCAGACCATTTGATTTTCTGCATGTAATGAATTTGGTGCAAGGTGTCCTATAGTCTGTCTAATAGTATCATTACTCACTTGATCTCAAATGGTCTAGACAGGAACTGTCCTTATGCACCTCAAAGATTTTAATAATCTATGCTTTTAAAAATAATCTATAAAAAAATGTTGGTTGATTGATCTGTTGGTTTTGTAAATTAAAAAATATAATTTCAGAAATGAATCAGTTAATTTAAAATTAAAGTAATTGGTGACTCATATTTCAGTTTTTAAAATGTGAAACTTGAGCTTCTTCAGAAGTTTGTCTGTTTACTAAGATAAGAATTTATTTCTCTGGCAGGTTTGACTCTACTGAGCCTTTTCTATTTGAAAATAATAAGGAAAAGATGCTTCAGCTATTGCAAGAAGCTGACTGGCCAGTAGCAGAAATGGATGTTTGTCTTCTTCTGGATGAAATTGCCAAAGGAGAGAAATATTTTAACCAATCCAGGGTGCTTCGCAGGGCACCAGTTAGTGGAAATGCCCATACAGATAGAAAAGAGAAAACAAGTGCTTCAAATTCTTCAAGTGAAAGTTCACACAGATCAAGGTCAAGCAGTTCTGTGAGCTCACGTCACAATTCACAACCAAGTGGGGTCAGTAACTAGAAATTTTGTGTGTGAGTAATTTGTAGTAGTTTATGTGCAGTATAAAATGTAATCTGTTAACAGCCTTAGAGTGTTTTGTTTATATTATTTGTTGTTTAATATCTGTATCTGTAGCATAATATTTACTTCCAACCATCATCATCATAATCATTGTCATCATCATCAAGTGCCTTGATAACTGATTTGGACAATCATATCTGTGCATGACCCTAAGTCTTGGTTTTAATGCCTCCTGCCTTCCAAGGTGGCTTAGACGTGCTTCACCAAGCTTTACTCCCAAGTCATACAATAAGGTCAACAGTATCCGCCAGCCCAGCCCGTACATTACTGATAATAGCAGCTGTGTCCATGCCTCTTCCCATATACATTTGTGCATAACTTGCCAGCCAGTCAGTTACCATTTACTCCTGCATGCCCACCTGTGTAAATTTAGCTGATGAAGGTTAATTGCATCTATCAAATACTTTCTACCAATTCAGAGTATAGACTACATGTTGTGATTTTATGAAGCATACTATCGGAGTCTGTTACCTCTTCTTCTTCTTTGTGTTCGGTTTCGTATGCTGAGGTCAAACCATCAGTTGGGTTGCCTCTATGACATTATGTCAGCTGCAGGTCCTTTGTGATTCCCTCTAGCTTGCTCTGCACACTTTGCTCTTGTGGCCAGGTTTCTTTTTGAAGTTGTAGGTAGAGTGGGCAGGTCTGCAGAATGAGCTCAGGTGTTTGTGGTCCTGTCTGACAGGCACCGTGGGAACTTTACAGTCTTTATTTTATGCATGTGGTAGTTGAGCCTGCATTGTCCTGTTCATGGATGGAAAATTGAGTTTGCTGATGGGGTCTTGTGGATGCTTACTGTTGGTTTGTTCTCTCCACCTTTTCTTGTATTTTCTCTTGGTAAGTGTTTTAATTTCTGATAATGATGAAGTCTGATACAATTACCGCATGAAGGGCCGCTTGGTCTGCTGCTAATATGAGTACACAGAAATCAGTGATTATCTTCTTGATCAGGCTAGATATTTTTGCTTGATAAGTGCCACTATTCTCTTTTACTGTTTTTCTAATCCACTGTGTTAATTATGCTCATGCTCATCTTGACCAACATTTCAGGGATCCAACTCTGTAGGTGATGGTGATGTCTTCTTGGCATGAATACTGATCTGTTAGTGTCCTTATTTCTGTGTCTGCAGTAGCAGGTATCTGGTTCCTACAGTACCTCCCCTGTGTGATGACAACCTTAGACAGGTTATGTACACCTGCCGGTGTATCCATCCATTCTTTTCTTTGACTGATCTAATCATAGTCACATACCTGCTGGATTAAATTCACAGTCTCAGCCATCCAGCAGCCTCTCTTGATGCTACCATTAATAGTGTTGTGCAATGGGTGGTTGATGCCTGCTGATAACCTAATTTATGCCTTGACCCGTGCCACTTTATGTCTGGCGGCCAAGGTCAGTAAACCCAGGACGTATGGCATGGCGTGGCACAAGGTGTCATTAGTGCAGCCGAGCTTGAGTAAAGGTATGCCTTATTTGATGTTCTTTATGACTGACGTCGAGCGCAGAAGATGTGTTCATTATTCAGAATATTAATCAGATTTTTAAATACATCTTCAGTCAGTAGATGTCACTTGCTGCTCTTTATAACCTATGCTGTGTGATTTAAATTAAACATTACAAAAACTTGTTAATTGTAGTGTCCAGAGTGGTAAAATGGTTAATATGCTTCTAAAGAAGACAGTATTCTGTGTTGTCCCCAGCCATGACAGGATCATTGAATTATTTATTTGGTATGCACACATAGCTTTATTTTAGTGTATATTTCACGTGTTTCTTGTAGTAGTAATGTAGCAAGCCATAATATAATTTTGTACCATGTGTTAATGTTGAATAATTTCTTACTTCTGTATGCATGTAGCATATTTGTCTGTTGTATATTTGTCTATGCTTACACCAAAACTGCATGCAGTATCTGTATTAGTCTTTCATGTTTATGATAAGTTTGGACATTTGTGTCTTAGTGATTTAGTGTTTTGACGCCTGAAGCAAGAGTGTGTGTTTGTGAGCCAGCGAGTGAGTGAGCGAGTGAGTAAATGACATTCTGCATTCTGAAATAAATAACCTAATAAATGCATCACGTAAATTTATAATTAATGTGAAAAACAGCCTTTTTTTTATGTTGCTTGGCCAACCTTAAGGAGTATATTATATTACATCCTACATACCATGTTTTTTATGCTACATCCGTACTTACATTGTATATATATATATATATATATATATATATATATATATATATATATATATATATATATATATATATATATATATATATATATATATATATATATATATAGTCGGCTCTGTGGCTAAGTCGATGCGAACGCTTCATAATGCCGGGATGCCGGGTTCGATCCCAGCTGCGGGCCATGTGCCTTGCGTTGGTTTCGACAGTGGTATCAAGAAAGCCGACCGTCCAGAAAGCAATGGCAAACTACTGGACATAAATTGCCTAGAAAAACCACACAACAGCCAGAGGCTGTTGGGGTTGGTTCTGCAACGTCCTGTTAAGGATACGCAACAACCTTTTTATGAAGGGCTTTGGAATACCAAAGAAGTTTATCACTATGACCAAAGACACTTATAATATAGAAACATATAAAGGAAGAAATTCAGATCCTTTTAAAATAACATCTGGTTTAAAGCAAGGTGATGCTCTGTCCCCACTTCTTTTCAACTTGGCACTTGAGAAAATTATAAGGAAATTGAAAGAAAAGTCTACTTTAGGAGAAACTACAAGGTTATGCAGATGAGATTGATATTATTGGAGAATATGAATTAAGGACAGTAAAAACGCTGGCACCCTTGAAAGAAACAACTCACAGAATGGGACTAGTTATCAAGATAAGACAGAATACATGATAATAACAAGACAGGGAAAGGATATCAACTCCTGCCACATAAAAATTGATAATAGGAAAATCAAACAAACATAAACATAAATATTTGGGCGCAAACTTCAATTAGAAATAAAGTATTCTATGCCCTTCAACATCTGCTAAAGTCAAAGTCTCTATCCTACAACAAGATGAAAATATATAAAACGCTGATAAGACGAGTTGTTTTATAATGCTCTGAAACTTGGATCACAACTAAGAAAAAAGAAGCCTTATACACAATTTTGAAAACAATGAATCTTTGGACCTATCAAAGATGCAAACAGCGTGGAATAGAGAGAGTGAGAAGCAACAGCGAAATTCTTGATCACTGTCATCATGAGGCTAATAGACAGAAATAGCTAGGGAATATTGAGAGAATGTCAGATGATAGACAAATTTTATACACAAGGGATCTGAATGGTCATAGACCACGAGGCAGACCAAGAAGATGATGAAGAAATAATATCCAGACAGTCCTACAGACACTTGGTGTCACCAGCTGGAAAGAGAAGGCCAGCAAGAGAGATGAATGTAGGCGGGCGATATCTGCAGCAATGAACCTCTAAGGCTTGGAATACTGAAAAATATATATATATAATTATTTCTTTTTAAACTTAGTTTTCAAAATATTTATCATATACATGTCATTTGTTACTTTAACATACCTAATTATAGTTTATATACTTTAAAGTAACAAACTGGTCTTTACTGGGTTAACACGAAACATCAGTGGACCAAAAAATGTTAAAGTGACAACTGGGATACAATGGATCAATCATTGTAGAAGAACTGTTACCAAGATGTTCAGAAATGAACTGAGTTGAGTTATGAACTCACACCGAAGCACTCGTTTCTCTCCATTAGTGCTCCATACCCATCTTTAGCAGCAAGGGCATAGTTCCTCTTCTAATGGAGCCATTAACAGTCTGATTGTATGTCCATCTTGCTTTGCCTCAAATAAATATTATCTATAGATTAACAAATACACACTTATTGAGTTTGGTACAACTAAAAGAGTTAATATTCTATTGTAGGGCTATTTTTGATTTTAAAAACATCTTGTTTTACATGCTTTTTTTTGAATATTTTAGTTGAGAAGCCATTAGATTTGTATGTACATTTGCAGTGTAAAAGCTTTGAAAACCTTTACTTTGTGTCTTATATAGTTTAGTTTGTCCCTTATAAATAATAATTGTTATTTTCCCTATTGGATCTACCAAAAAGAAAACCATACAAATACAAGATCCGACAATTAAGTAATGAGACTAATTCCATAAAAATAACAAACACTGGAATGACCTTCTATTGTTATGGCCCTTAAAGTCGATGCTACGGCCCTTTGGATGTCATCAATATCATTAAAGAAGCGTCCTTTTAATCACAACTTTAATTTTAGGAATGGAAAATAATCACAGGGTGGCAAATCTGGGGAATAGGGTGGAAGGCTGAGAACACACACTTGTTTTTTGGCCAAAAATTTCTGTTTTGATGATATCTCTTGGGTACTCAACCTGCTGATGTTTTTGATCATCAGACAACGAATGTGGTACAAACCGGCAAGCAACTTTTTTCTTGCCTAAATCTTGCACTAAAATATTATGAATGGTCTCTCTATTAACACCAAATTCATCTTACATCATTCTCATAGTAAAACAAGGATCTTCTTGTATCCGTTAACTGATTTTTGCAATGAGTTCATCATTACGAACAGAAATTTGACCTCCAGGTCTAGGTGCATTAGTATTCATTTCCACACCACTTTTGAATAGTGAATACCACCTGAAATTGTGTGCACGAGATAAACAATTATCCCCATAAACTTGTTGCATCAATTAACTGTTTCAGTGGCGCTTTTTCTGAGTTTTAAAAGAAAGCTTTTTGTTCTGTGCTGATTATGTAACTATGCACCTCTGACTAGATCAGCAAAATGGAGACTTGTTTGTTTTCTGCTTATCGAGAGGCAGTTAAAAGTTGCCAGATCATAGATGAATGTTGCATCTTTAGATTCTATGTTTTGCTTCATAGATGGCGCTTTTGTCTTGGCCATAAAAATATCAGTCTCATTACTTAATTGTCGGACCTTGTATAATGTATCTTATAAGCATCTGAAAAAGCAGTAAATTAAAAATCTCAGAATGATGTCATTGTTTTTTTTTTTTTAAGGTAATTGGTGCTTCAAGAATTTGTCATCTGTGATCAGTTAGCATTTTAAGGGCATGATATTATAACTCAGTTTAAATTTCCTATATTTTCAAGGATGAAAGTTTAAAATAAAATTATTTTAATACATCTTTAAACTATTCTGTGTATTTTTTTTTTAAGGACATGTCTACATGGCAGATGCAAAAGATTTAATATAGTCTAAACACCAGTTATCTAATAGGTTGAAACACCTGGGATAATAACCAGTTATTATCTACTTTTATCAGAACTATTTTTTGGCCAACACTATGCTATCAGTGCCAAATGTCTCGCCCCGACACTTCGATGAGGTACAAGGTGGAAGAGAAGAAGAAGAAGAAGAAGATTATCTACTTTTGATGGTTTTCAAGAAAACTGACAATATTTTTAAATGAATAATTTTCAGTTGAAATAGAACATAATGACCTTGATGTCTGGTCAGTCCATACAAAAAGTGTACAAGCAAATGTCATGGAGAGTAAAGACAGTTGGTGGAGAGTAAAGACAGCTGACGGGGATTAAAAGACAGCTGGCAGAGTGTAAAGACAGCTAGTGGAGAGTAAAGACAGCTGGTGGAGAGTAAAGACAGCTGGTGGGGAGTAAAGACAGCTGGCGGGGAGTAAAGACAGCTGGTGGAGAGTAAAGACAGCTGGTGGAGAGTAAAGTCAGCTGGTGGGGAGTCAGGACAGCTGGGAGGGGGGAGTAAAGACAGCTGGCAGAAAGTAAAGAGAGAAAGGACAGCTAGGTAAAGACAGCTGGCTGGAAGTACAGACAGCTGGCGGGGAGTAAAGACAGCTGGCAGAGAGTAAAGACAGCTGGTGTGGAGTAAAGACAGCTGTAGAGAGTAAAGACAGCTGGTGGAGAGTAAAGACAGCTGGCAGAGAGTAAAGACAGTTGGTGGAGAGTAAAGACAGCTAGCAGAGAGTAAAGACAGCCGGTGGAGAGTAAAGATAGCTGGCAGAGAGTAAAGACAGCTGGCAGAAAGAAAAGACAGCTGGTGGAGAGTAAAGACAGCTGGTGGAGAGTAAACACAGCTGGTGGAGAGTAAAGACAGCTGGTGGAGAGTAAAGACAGCTGGTGGAGAGTAAAGACAGCTGGTCGAGAGTAAAGACAGCTGGTGGTGAGTAAAGACAGCTGGCAGAGAGAAAAGACAGCTGGTGGAGAGTAAAGACAGCTGGTGGAGAGTAAAGACAGCTGGTGGAGAGTAAAGACAGCTGGTCGAGAGTAAAGACAGCTGGTGGAGAGTAAAGACAGCTGGCAGAGAGTAAAGACAGCTGGTGGGGAGTAAAGACAGCTGGCAGAGAGTAAAGAAGAAGAAGGAGGAGGAGAAGAAGGAGGAGGAGAAGAAGAAAAAGGAGGAGGGGAAGAAGAACAAAAACAAGAAAAAAGAAGATATAGCAGAAAAAGACAGCAAAAATAAGATGAGACAATTAAACAATAAACATACAGTTTCTTTAAAAAAAAATTTGGGATGCATGTAGCAAATTAAGTGAATAGGCATTTGGATCATTTTGATTTGCATACATTTTTTAGATTTGTTTTATTTAAAATAGACAAATGTGTGTAAACATTTTGCACATATATTTAAACCTTCTCTGTTCTGATTTCTCAACAACTATTCAATCATTTTTTTTTCTCACATTAAGGTACATAACTTTTTAGCCTCAGGAAACAAAGAATGATTACTTATTGCTATGCAATTGCATGTGGCCATGCTTCAGTCTTATCTTCTTTAACAAGTTTTGATTTTTTAACATTTGTTTTGTGTGAAGGTGGTCATTTTATATTTATGACTTATTATTATGTGGGTGTATACGTGTATTCTTGGGCACTGCTTATAATCTTTGTTTATTTTCAAACAAATGAAATCCTAGAGTGAATTTAAAAAGTGTGAATATAAATAAGGTTATGAGAGACCAGTTGCAAACCCTTTCATTTGTAGACTATAGCACTACTACTAGGGGTGGAATAGCACTTCATTTTGTGTGTGGATCGACAAAAACACTATTTCAGCCTGAGAGAAAAGTGAAACTAGCCAGACAAAAACATTCTACTACTAGCTAATATGACAGGTTATTTTCCATGATAAATAAATTGACAAACACTGGGGTTCACCCATAAGAGCAAAACAGAATTCGTAGAGATAGGAAGACACACAAATAGAGGCAGACCTACAAACACTTACCATCTGGAAAGAGGTCAGTCAGAGAGATGAATGGAGTTGGGTGATATCTGCGACGTTAAACCTGAAGGGTTTTAGAATGTGGAAGAAGATGAAAGATACTCTAAGCAACATACAAATCAGAAGCTTTTGCTTCTGTACAGAGATTTTGTTCTGCTTCTCTGAGTGTCAGTTAATGCTTGTACATTTTTTATTATTTTGTGTATATGGTGGCCTCAACAATGCAAAGATTGAACAGCCTTAAAAGTCTATGGTTAAGCACCAGCAAGGAGATAAAAATTAGAATTTTTAGAGCATGCATCTTCCCTGTGGCTACATACGGATGTGAGTCGTGAACTATCTCTCAGTCCTTAAGAAAGAGAATGGGAGCTTTTGAGCTGAAATGCTATAGAAAGATTCTCAGAATATCTTGAACAAAGAAGAGGAGAAATACTGACATCTTGAAAGATCTGAACATCAAGGAAGATTGGCTAATAAACAGCATCCTGTGTAGGAAGCTGAAACATTTTGGTCATATCAAGCGCCACGACAGATTGGAAAAAAAATTATAGCAGAAAGCGTGGTACCAGGAAGGGTTGGGGGGGGGGGGGGGGCAGGGGCCGACCGACACCAAGATGGGCACAGGATATTAGTGACTCCTCGAGTATGAAAGTCCATGAGGCGGGAGAACTGGCGAGAGACCGAGTTTCTTTCAGGCAGACTGTGATGAGAGCGACATTCTGCAAAGGACCTGCTACATGATGATGATGGTGGTGGCCTCAAAGGTTTCTCAACAGTTGAGAAGTCATTTTATCTGTGATGGCTGAAACATTTATATACATTTTGTCACAGTAATCAAACTGTTTGGACTTCTAAATGTCCGTTCAATAAATGCACTATGTTGCAGGTAATAAACTGTTGCTTCAAATAAATATATAGGAGGAGTCTGAGCTGGGAAATAAATATGGTGCCTCTCAGGGAGATTAGGTTATATTATGTTATCACAATCAACGTCTTTGCACATTGGGCATTCCCATGAGTGCCCAGTCCTCCGATGCAGCAGCCACTACAAGGTACATCTACTGACTGTTCCCATAAGAAGTTGGTGATAGTATATCCTGTCTTTAAAAATGGCATAGACGTGCTTCACCAAGCTTAACTCCTTGGTCATGCAATCGTTCTAGTGTTAGAGATTCAACATTATCCCCCAGCCTAGTCCATACAGCATTGATATCCTTGCTTCTTTTCATTTGCATTACCTGCCAGTTGGTCAGCTCTTTCATTACTATTTACCCCTGAGTGCCCAGGTATGTAGATCGAGATGATGAAGGTTAACTGGGACTTCCAAATGCTTTCTACCCACTCGGAGCATGTACTGCCTGTAGAGATTTTCTGATGCATGTTCATAGAGTCTGAAATGATTACTGCATGTGTTTCCACCTGTTCTGCTACCACTGCCAGTGCTCAGGGAGCTTGCTTTACACATTGCAAATTAATGACTTAAAATTAATCAGGACTCCCGAACAAAAAATGTTTATAGCAAGATGTGCATGGCTGGAAAACCAGACAGACTGCTGGGCTAATCGTCATCATATGCTTTGCTGGCTAATATGTCTTAACCTGCTTCTGCACATGTCACTATCTCCATCAAAATGTATTAGTTAGTCTTTTTCTTCTTCTTCTTCTTCTGCTTCTTCTTCTTGTTCTTTTTCTTCTTCTTGTTCTTGTTCTTCTTCTTCTTTAGCTTCACGGATTGTAAACTCTGGCAGGAAGTTCTGGTTGTTCGTCCACATCTGGACTGTTTTGGATTTCTCCCAGAACTTGAATTTTGTGAGCACATCCATTTTACAGATCTGACTTATTTGTATGCAGGCTGTTGGTTCCTCACCTCTCGGGCAGATGCACTTCAACTACTGAAGAATACATCCCTGATTAACAGATGTTTATGACATGTTTGTTGGAGGCCTTGGGGGTGTAGCGGGATTGTCCTTTTTCCACATAACAAATTGGGCCCGAACCTACAAAGGGAGTATCAGTTAGTATGCTGACACTTTTACATGCCATAACAAAGGGCATCAATAATCTTCCATCGTTGTCTGTCTCTATCTCTCTGTCCATATGTGTTTAACTTTGTCAAAACTATTTGGGTTGTTGATTCAGTATTTGTCTGATCTAGGAAAATTCACCAAGACGGTTGAGGTCGCGGTCTCTTTCAAGTCATGATGCCCACTCTAACCCAGAAAACGTTTCTTCAGCAAAACGGGAAATATCTTCTTCAAAAGCAATGTCAAGATCATCTTCAAGCAGTAGCAACAGATCACATTCCAGCCCAACATCTCGGTCAAAGAGTCCTGGACAAACTGCTTCACCCATTCCTGTAAATAGTTCCAGAAGATCAACTTCAAATTCCCCTTCTGAAAGTAGTAGTAAACAACTTACAATACACAGGGGTCGTGCAATGAAGACTGATGTAACATCTGCTACAGTTGAGAAAAATCTTCAGAGGCAATCAAAAAGCATTTCTCATTCCAGTGGTAATCAACAGCTCAAGAAACCTAATACCAAATCATCATCATCATCTGCTTTGAAATCACAGTTAGTTTCTTCCAGTAAAGATGGTAAGCATCAAAACACTGCAAGGCATCTTTCAGCAAGAGAAAGGCTCAAAACATCCAGAAAAAGGTCACAGACATATAGGGAACATGTGAGTTACTGTTGACAAGGATGTTAGTATGATTTAGTTAACATATGATATCAGGCTGAGTAATATGAAAATTCTTTAATTGAGTTAAAAACTGACACCATAGCACTCAGTACATTCCCATAAGAACTCTGTCCCTATCAGTAGCAGCCAGAGTAGAGAGATAAGTTTTTGATTGTAGCAGCAGCAATGTTGTCTTTCCCCTACCATTTTGCCAAACTGTCCAAAATTTTCTCTGTTAGTCTTTCTTTGCATCTCTTTCCTTCCAACTTTCCCGTCATCATAAAATATTCTAGCATGCCCACAGAATGTAAATATCACTTATGATGCAGGTAATCAATTCTCTGCGTGCAATAATTTCTTTCAAGACATTCTATGTTTTATAACTTGAATGTTTATCTAATTCAGATTACATTTTTAATCGCTGAGTAAATGTATTGCAAAGTCTTAAGTAATTATAGAAATTAAATGAGTAGTTCTCCCTGGGTCAGATGTGGGGCCAGTTTGAGGAGGGGGGAAGAGAAGAATAAACCATTGCCCCCATGTCATAAAATGTGACTAATTAAGTGTTTGCTGAAATCGGATGTATTGGATGAATTGCAGAGATGATGCTGCCTAGCTGTAAACTACACAACAGTGTACCAATCATCCTGTTGAGCACAGACATAGAAGAAGAAGAAATCAGTAGCTCTAGAGTTAGGTTTTCTATATTATGTCAAAAGTTGACTGGTAGTGCACCCAAATCTGCTGCTGCTGAGGTTTGGAGGAGTTCTGAGGTAAGGCTGAGTCAATTTGCTGACCCACCCTGTTGGGATGTACACAGAAGAACTAACACACATGTGACAGCCTGCTGCAAGCTGACACAGAGGTTGATCAATCAGCTTCACTGAAACTTTTGTCATTTGACATCTCTTTTGGTTGTAAGGGGTGTGATTACAGGCAAGGACAACATTAAAACTGTTGGCGTGCAGAAACAGCTTCTTAGTGCTACACTATCTACTACTGAGGGAGTCTCCACGGCAAAGTTGCCAAGCTGTTTGCATTGTGCTCTGAAAGTTGTAGATGTGTTTCACAGCTACCTCATTTGTGAGTGCAATTTTTACCGAGATCCCTGAGGATCGTCGCTGGAGCTATGGAGTTCATGCTCTGTGCAATGCTCTCAGCAGGCGAATAGGCGTTTTGCTGAGAGAGATCAAGCCATATGGGATCAAACCAAGTGCAGTGAAGTCAGTCCTCTCAATTTTAACCTGTTTTTTTTTAGCAGGACACCTGTGGATGTGTCCAAATTCAGGACACCTGTGGATGTGTCCAAATTCAGGACACCTGTGGATGTGTCCAAATGCAGTAATGTAATTTATTTTTAATAAGTCAAGCTATTGGATCGGTAGTATGTTTATATTGACACTTTTGATAATGCAAAAATATATTTACCATTAAATTTCTAGTGACAGCAAATGGTGATATAAAGTTAATTTGTAATCTTGAACTCAATTAGGTACACAAGCAAATTAGCATATCACAGATTGCTGAGAAAGTCCAGAACTCATCTAAAAAAGGCAAGGGCAAGGGTCACGTAAAACGTAGACCCATGACAGGTCAAAAAGTCATTGCTAAAATGGATGAGGACGGACTGTATTACCCAGGTTTTCATATGTTTTTGTTTGCTTCTAAATGTAAACTTTATTTTCATTACTGTAGGTTTTTAATAAGTTGTTTTTGTATAACATGCAAAAGATACAACTAATAAAGTTAGACTGTTTTGAAGACATTTGGCATAATACCAGAAATGAACATTTGATAGAATGTGGATATGAATCAAGGACTATTTTACAATCAGTGGAGAAGAAAATTGAGTTTTTTAAATTGAAATCACCATTATCGTCCTCTATGACACTTAGGGCTCACATAGTGCTGGATTCATCTTTTCCTGTCTGCCCTCTGCAACCTTTAAGCTTCAATTAGCTGAAAATGTCTGGAATACCATGGATCAGGAAATGGAAAAATAGTGTCATTCCACAAAATCTAAACAAATAAAAACACTAGCTCAGGATCAGCAGCAAAGCTCAGAAACTGAATAACTTCCAGTGTTAAATCAGGTAGTGGCTTAGAAATAATAATAATATAATGATTTTAAAGGAAAGAAAAGGTAGAAGTTGATGAAGACAAGGTTAGTCACAGGATACAGGAGACATCAGGCTGGGTGGTTAGCAAGGGATAAAGATAGAAATAAAATTATGTCAGCAGAAGGCAAGTACCAGCCATTTTGAAAGTCTCAGTTATGTTGAGCTCACATTGTTACACATTGCCTATTTGTCTGTTTTCTGTATCATACAGTAATGAAAATTATATTAACACTTTTAAATTTATTTTATAGTTTACTTGCTTAAATTTGAGAAGCTGTGTACTTTTATTATATTATTAAATGTTAGCTTAGACATTTTCTGTTTTGATTTATAAGTTCTGTCTCACACTGGCTAACATCTATTATTTGTTAAAAATTATTTGCGTATCCTTTAACAGGACTTTGCAGAACAAACCCCAGCATTTATTGGCTGTAGGGGTTTCTCTAGGCAAATTTTACGTTCAGTAGTTTACCTTTGCCTCTGAATTGTAATAATTGTAATAAATTAAAAATGGAGTGATGATGATGTAGGGGCATGGTTCATTCCCCTATAGAGGTAGAGGTGTATTTTTTATTTAACTGGACGACCATACTGACCCAACCTAATGAGAATTATAAAATTTCCAGTGAAATCATGGCTGTTTGTATGATGTTGCTCTTCAGGAGCGGATTGGTCTAACAAACTTGGATTTATCACCATATTTCCTGTACACCATGATGTGCAGAAAAGGACCCCTTACTTTTACATTACGAATTTTTAAAAAAAAACAGTTTATTTAAAAAGTTAAAAAAAATTATTGACCTGTTCTAGTGTCTTTCTGTTCATTTTTATTTTCTAAATCGACTTGCTATTATCTTTAATTATATTTGTAGCACCTTTTTTCCTTCTTTATGCTTATGTCAGCGTTATATTCATTGCATTGGTTGAAGTAATCTATTCGTTGCCCAGCTTCTGAGTTGAGTGCATGGTGTAACACTGTGAGCTGCAGATTTCATTTGAACTGTGATAAACGTTTTATTTGTTTTTTGTTGGCACAGGAGCAAAGCAACTAAGGGGTGACCTGTTTGCTAAGAAGCTGAAACTAAGATTACCAGATTACCAGAAGTAATCTATTGCACTAAAATGTTCTAACTGATTGCACTTCACATGAATATTCATTTAAGGTGAAGTTGTGCGCTGCCCAGATCCCCAGCACTGTATAGTTCAGTTTGATTGTAATGGCAGTGATGTTCTTACCAGGCATGTGCTGCCCCAAGGAGGGGCTATTTCATGTCCGCCACTCTACGTAAGTCATCAGTCTTTCTTTTCTTAGGAAATGTCTTGGACATTTTTCATGAATATTATATATGCAGGTGGTTCTTTAGAACTGTATGATATTTAGATAAGATGGGATTGATAATAACGTTTATGGAAGACATAGTAACAGAGAAAGAAGGCTATGGTATGACACTTGCATAATAGATAAATAGGTAATAAAAATTGATAATATGTAAATAAATATTTAAATAATAATAATCATAAAATAATAATAATTAATGAGAATGCCATCATCATCATCCCGTAACACTGCATCTTGTTAGGTAACCAGTTGCTGCTGTCTGTCTGTCTGATTAGCTCCCTCCACCTCTGGTAGTCAGATGCAATGGACTTTACTGTTGTATGCATAAGCTTGTCCAGTCAGTCAAGTTCTGTAACCAGGTCTTTCTTGGTCTGCCTCTTCTCCTCTTCCTCTTTACTGCACATTGTAGTATCGACAGTCATGATTCTTTCTAAGAAGATGTTAAACAGTGTTGCCAGAGGAGGCAGCCCTGTCAAACTCCTACTGTTTGTTTAAAAAAAAAATTTTTCAAAGTATCCAGAAACCATAAGATGTTAATCCTTTGGCTCCGTACTATGGATATCGCAACCCTTCGGCCTTGATTCCATGATAGATACTGTAAATCTCTGAGGAATGTTGCTTTTCTGCCTACCCCCGGGCGTGAACCCGAACTACAAGGAGTTCATCACCCGGTTGCCCCACACTAGTGAGTCAGGCCCTACTGTTGTTCGGAACCAGATCCTTTTTTTTCTTTCAGCGTGACAGCACTACTGGCTTAGGCATAAAGCTTTTCTACACTGCATATGATGGTTTTACCCATATTATGAGAATGAGAATGTTTAAAAAACTTTAAGAAGATGGGGTTAACATTGATTCCTGCTTGGCTCAGAATGCATAGAATGTGGGGATTTTTCAAGAGAGTCTCTGCAGTATCCCTATTTTTAACACTTTTTCAATCTCTCTAATGGTTGTTAATGATATCAGTTAGGATTTAGGCTTGTAACCTACAGTAAGCCAGGTACAAACAAGTGTATTTAAAATAATGAGAGGTGCGTACACATACACACTCACATATGCATGCACTCGCACAGACATACACACACAGCAAAAATTATTGATGATTCTGACTTTCAAACAAAAATCTCTTGCAATAGTAGTCTATAATTATTTAAACTCCTTATAACTAAAATTTTAATTTAAGTTATCAGACTTTGAGTCCGCATAAATTAAAATAATAACATTATAAGCAGGAGTTCAACTAGTAATGAGTTAATCTAACAAATATCTACAATAAAAGAATAGTCAGAAATTTACAGTATTTGCACTGACTAATGAAAATTTAATGAGTCGTATGGTACCAACAACTTTTAAAGGTGTCTTTGCTGTAATTTAAAGCAATCTTCATAGACTGGTAGCACAGTTTGATCATTTCTACTTTTCTTCCACAGGTTGGTGATTATGTACTGGTTAAAGTTATACGTTTGGACAAAATGTGTGAATGTTTTGTTCCAGCTGCAGTCATAGCTGTGCCCCAGAAACATGCAGATGATAAACTTTATACAGTGGTTATGTACAGTGGCCAAAAGGTTTGTTTTGTAAAAGAAAGTATTGTTTTTATGCACATATTATTCCTAGCTTTTCTATTTATCCATGTGGAAAATATTGTGTTCTTATATTTTCAGATTTGAAAGATTAATAATTTTTTTTTTTCAGATCGTTAAAACCTTATTAACTTAGTGTCTTTCCTAAGTTAGAATTAGTGATATTTTAAATTTTATTAATCCTAGACAGATGTAACTTAATAACATTCTATCTGAAGCCGATGTTACTGGAAAGTAATAAATAATATATATAAAGATGTTCAACTAAAAACTATGTTGTGCAAAAAGAGTTAAAGTAATGACTGGGAGAGAGTTATTTAATGTTGGAACTATTTAATGTTGGAACTATGTGAATGTATTTAAAAATAAGCCACAGTAAGTTGCTTGGTGCCAAACAAAAAGCATAAAAAGATTGTAAAAGATTACCTCTCTTAGAAAAGATTAACTCTTCGAGTCCAAGACAGTTGTTGTTAATTCAGTTATTGCTATTCAGAGCAGTTATTTTTTTAAAGAATATTTAATGTTGTCACCATTTCTTGGACAGCCAGAATGATGTGCATTTCATTCATAAATAAGAGAGAGAGAGAGAGAGAGAGAGAGAGAGAGAGAGAGAGAGAGAGAGAGAGAGAGAGAGAGAGAGAGAGAGAGAGAGAGAGAGAGAGAGAGAGAGAGAGGTACACTAACAACTGGGATGCTTCATCATTATAATCATCATCAGTCAATTGGCATAAAACAGTTCATATTTCATAATATTGTCAAAATCAATGCAAAGCTGTCCTCTACAAAATCACCAACAGCTACTTTGAACACTTGTGTGTCAGAATTATGAAACAGTATTTTCAACCCCTAGGAATATCCAGTTTATTAGTTTATTAGACATATCAGAAGAGAGAGAGTTGGAAAGCTTTCAATCCTTCTATCTCTATTTCAGTCCCCTGTGTATCCCTCATAAAATGGTTCCCTGTAAATCCCTCATAAAATGCTTTCCACAAATGTATAATCATGTGTTAATTTTAAAATTATTCACTTTTACGTAACAGGCAAGAACCAAAAGAAGATACCTGATCAAAATTAGCAAAGAAAAGTTTTGTGCAGACTGTATAGACATTTTACAACATCAGAATGAGAACAGATTTGAGTAAGTATTTAAATAAGTAAGTAGGTACTTTTACTTGATCATATCTTCTGATAATTATTTTGAAGTCAATAAGGAAGAAAAAACTGGGGCTTTGGAACTAAAGTCTATAGAAAGATTATCACAATGCTTTGGACCAAGATGGAAAAAAAGGCAGACATCTTAAATGATGTGAACATCTTGACAAAGTGAAATGCAGTTCCACCAGCCAGCTATTGAGTTGAGTGCATGATGCAGCACTTGAGCTATGAATTTTGTGGGGAATTTATTGTCTGTGTTCCTGCAAATGTGTGTTGTAAACTACAAATTCAGAAAATAGAGAGAGGCTGGTTGATATGAAATTGACTGTGTGTGCACCTGATGGTTCGTTGTGACTGCTGCTTCTTTCAACTCTGAATAGTAATTCTATGGAGACTGTTGTGTTGGCATCTCTGCTGGCTGCTTTATACATCTGATGCATGTGTGAGCTGTGTAATTTTGCCGGGATCACCATATGACTTTTCACATGGAGCACCAATGGAAATTTTGTTCGGTTTTCACTGGCACAGGAACAGAGCAGTTAAGTTG